ATATATATATATATATATGATATATATGATGGGCATTATACCAAGTTTTAAAATTTACTGCCAGTGCTGAAAATTTATAATAGTGCACCGGCCGTAAGATTTTTACAGTTTATGAAGAGAAATTAACCCTGCACATAACTATGCAAAATCATATGCATAAAGAAAATATCATAAGAATATGTAAAATATATGCGATTAGATAACTTTTTTATGCATATGATTATATACAATTAATATGCAAGTTTGTTTGAATGCGCCCTTAGCATTGGCAGTGAACTTTGGAACATATATATAAGTATAAAATATATATATATATATATATATATATATATATGTATATATATATAATATCTCTACTATTAGATCTTTTTACGTTGCTTGCACTTTTTGCTCTGAAAGTCTTTGTTTTTTCTCTTTCAACACTCGAATATACATATATGCAGTAAATTTATAATCCAGGGTTAATTAGTAAATTATTAATATTTCTTTTCTACTAAATTAAGTTACACCACTTAACGGCTTAAAATTAATTTAAATTATAGTTACGTATATGTACGTACGTTAAAAATTTCATGAAACAAAAAGGTATTATAAACAATTATTATATTGAGATGCAAAAATGCCAACATGACGTACAGTATATAAAAAAGTATAACTTACAATTAATTGAAATTCGAGTTAAGATTAATAAATTAACTCAAATTATATATTAAAAGTTCTAATTTAAAGAATTATTTATATTAAATTAAAATTTCGTAATTTTTAAAAATTAGATTATTCTAAATCTAAAGTATATAACAAACAAATTGAAATTACAATAGGGATTATCAAATGTTAATATTTATTCATTTGTTTTAATATATATCTATCTATGTATAATCATAAACTTTCTATCCTAATAATAATAAATTATAATTGCGTTCGTCAGGGCTTCAAGGAACATATATGTGTAATCTATTGCATTGCTATATGCAGAGTGGTATCGTGACAGCACATTCCGTTATTCACTGCGAGTACAGAAAACACTACAGTATACGTAACGTGAGCTATAAATTTTCAGTACTTGCAATGAATAACGAAACGCATCAGCCTGTATCATTCTATCAATAGCGCTGATAGCGCTCCATGAATGCAGACTCCAGAGCCAAGGCCTGGAGCACATTAAATGCGATAAGAAAGCATGAAATACGTTTTCGGACAGAACGGGTTTGATCGCTGCAAGAGCGATTAACAATGTCACATATTCTTCTCGTCCAATCAGAAATCTAAAATGGAGATGTGACGTCATTAATCTCTCTCGGAACGATCAAACTCGTTCCGTCCGAAAACGCTATATAAACATGACATAAGACCGCTGGACCAATGAACAGCCAGCATAAAGCTGGCCATATTGATTTACACAAGATGATTCTCATTGGTTTAGCCGCCTTATGCTATGATTATGCCTTCTTATGCATTTTATGTGTTCCCGGCTTAAATGGATGCCCCCCCCCCCCTCGTATGAAGAGAACGAAGAGGTAACACCTACGCCCTCTCTTCGTTGTTGTATACAGTCAACCAGTCAACTGCATCTCCACAATGTTGACAATTTACGACGAATTTGACGATTAGAATTTTAAAAAGAGGTTAGAATTTACTAATTTATCCCGGATTTCAATTGTGTCAGCTATTTGCCAGATCTAAGGATCGAGAGTCATTTTGTTAAAACAACTGTAGTTTATAGTTTTACATTTCATAGCGGAAACTTTGAAATATAATTGATCGAAATATCGATAAGGATATCAGCATGTATCAGCTGAAAAAATATCATTGAAATTTCTCCGTGGAGATCGAACCAGCAATAACCATGACGCGGACAAACAGGTTTGTCTTTCAAATGTTTGCAAGTTGATACGATTTTATATCTATGCGAATGCACAAACGTACGTAGAGAAAAAGCTCTTTTAATCTAGAACAATGTTGTTACCATGATTTTATCATTATTTTCTATTTGGACATTCCGTTAGGAAGAGGCGTCGCAACATAGAAGAAGAATCCAGTGACTTTATGCCATTGAGCAAACGAATCAACAATCTTCATATCAACGGTTTATCTGGTCTACGAGAGAATACGGTAGAAAGTATGGAGACTGATTGGGAAAGTGGAAATTTCATGTCGTCTCCGAGCTGCTCGGAGGTGTCTCAAAATTCATCGCCCAGAGACAGTTGTGCTTCGAACCAAAGCAATTTTACCAATGATTATAGACCAGATTTAGATGCAACGGAAAATCCTTTTTATTATGAGAGCAATAAATTGCTCTTTTCCTTATATATGGAACGTATACAAAGGAGACCAGATCTGTACTGATAAACAAACGTCCCGTTCCACATACAAAGTATTTTCTCTTGACATTCAAATCTTGCTGTACCTTTTGTCATTCTACATAACATAATTGACAATTTTCAATTTTCCTTTCCCAATCGATCACTTGGATAATGATGAAACGTACCATGGCAATAAAATTGGTATATAGAACGTTTTTGTAAAAGGCAACATTGGTAGATATAAGATTCAATAATGTACAATCGTTAGAATATTAAGAGCATCTTTTATTAGTGCATAAAATTCGATGTAATGAGAATATATGAATTATTAACACACGAAACTGGCAGAGAAAGAAGAGAGAGAGAGAGAGAGAAAGAAATAGGGTATAACATTTCTTTATTTAAATTACAGTGTTATTTCTCAGAAGTCATACTAGACGTTACATTCTTAACGAAATTCAATCCCGTTGGGATTATAAAAGTACAAACAAAAATAATTGGCAATTGAATTTGAAAAGAATATGTTTGTGTGAACATTACTAGAAGTAATAAATTGCGTTCCGTATCCACATTTTCAGCGCTTACAGCGGTCACGGAATCATTTTACCCTTATTTATCGAATGTTTGTTAAACGAGGACAAATGTTTGCAGCACGTGAGCGTTAAAACGAAACGCAGCTCTACAATATAGCTATAAGCCATAAGAATTGACCAATTGTAGTTCTGAACATGAGGAGACTAATCAACTATGATGGGTTTATTTTTACGGCTTACAGTTATAGAGTAAGCTATAAGGATCGTGTTTCGCTTGAATCAGTTGGGTTATTTCTCAAGAATTTATTAAGTTTTGTAAAACGTTTCGTAAAAGTGCGCGCGTTCGAGGCTCGGTTCGAGATGGCAGGACAATCGATTCTCCACTTAACCTCCACTGTCCGCTAGGTGCGCGTGAGTCGAACCGCTACGATCTCTCCGACACGCACTACCCAACTGTCCGTAACCGTACCCTAGTCGCGTTGTCGCGTAAACGTGACAGACGAACGTGTTTAAATCGTGCGAGGCGAGATAATCCGACGCTAAAATTTAGCGGATTCGCGTTGTTCGCGAATAAGAAACATCATTTTGCGGGAATACTTGATCGGCAAGTACGCGCAAGCGCCACGTTCTAATCGTCTGACTACTACTCGCGCAAGATACTCTGCACGTAATCGCCGCCATAGTTAATATTTTAACCGTTGAAATTGTATTAACAACGGCGTAGAGAGCAAGTATTCTCCCGTATTCGAGTATCCTCTCATCCCAAGAGATTTAGGTGATGCTAGATGCTGGAACACGCCTGGACGTGAGATCATCGTGACGAGTGTGCATCAAAGCGCGTCGCGTCGCTAATCCAAGCGTCGCGCGTGCAGAGACGGTGCGCGCCAGCGCGATTCCATCAAACTTTCCGGACGAGTGGCGCTCGGCGGTATCGGCCACTCGACGCTCGCGTGGAGAGTTGTCGCTATACGCGTGGCTACCGTCGTAGTGGCGTCAGGCGACTATGTACCGTTAGTTCGAATCTATTCCCGTTGGCCGGCTCGAGAGAGCGAGATCCACGCTCACCTACCTACCGACCGAGGAGGGCCGAGCCATATTCGATCACGGTTGGTTGTAAAACCCGGAAACGAAGCGTGTGCGCGTCTTCGTTCATCGAGAGCTCGTTGCACGCTATAGAGAGAGAGAGAGAGAGAGAGAACAGCAGCAGCATACACACACATCGCTACATATACCGCGCGCGCGCGCGCATACACACCACACACAACAGCACAGAGAGAGAGAGAGAGAGCAGTAGTGTGCGAGCGCGAATTTATCGCGGAGTCACTCTCGAGCTCTCCGCAAGCTTCCGTTGGAGACGCGCGCGCGTTCGTCTCGACGTCTCTCTACGCATATGTATGACGTGTGCATCGCAGCGACAACCGCGACGATACGTCGGTCGGCGTGTTCACGTTGAAATGAGAAAGTCGTTACCGCTGCGCTGAGGATTGGGAACGACGACGCACGCGAGCCAGCCAGACGGACAATTCCCGTACTAAGCAGAGGTACGGAGAACGAAGGCAGCGACAGTAACAGCGGTACGTTGAGTCGAGCGTGCACGAAGAGTCGTGGCTGCTCGCGTTGCCTATCCGCTCTCGTCTATCTGCCTGTACTTACGAGTAAGTAGAACAAAGCCATAGACTACAGTTTTCACACCTTGAATGAGATCACGCTTGCAATCTTGTACTTTTTTTTTTTTTTACGTTGTATGTAGATTTATTACAAGTATTTTTTACGTATGTATGACCATATGTGTTGTCCTCCGTCTCCCTTTCTCTATCTATATATATATATATGTACATATATATCTAGCTTTTATATCTCTTGGCTTGATCGTACTCCCGATCCCGAGCGGACAGACGTGTTCCGGTTGACGGTACCGCCCCGCGCGCGGGTGCCATGTCGCGCTCGATTCCCGACGAGATCTCATGCACGAGAAACCGCGAAACGGTGGCCACAGAGAGCACCCACCCCAAGACACTAAAATCGTCGCGGGGCCCTCGTCGTGGCTCACGGCTTGGCTCGAGCTGGCTTTGGTGGGGTGGTTGGAGGTGCGGACAGTGGTTGAGAGGCTGGTGGGGTTGGAAATTGCGTGGTGGTGGGTGTTCGTCGAGGTCTCGGAGGCCCCTCCGTGGCATCTCGCTGCCTCTAACCCATCGAGGTGGGGGTGTAAACAACAGCCCTGCCCGTGTACCTCGCCGTCGCGTTTCGCCTCTGCCCTGCTCTCCATCAGCTGATGCGTCTTTCGCCGCGTGCCGCCGCGTCTCGTCGTCGTCGATCTCTTTCCTATTTCCGTCCCTGGATATGTATACTGTTGGCGCGAAGGCGATGTAGTCTGAGAGAACTGAGAGTAGAGTGAGTAGGGAGAGGACCGGAGAGTACTCTCGGCGCGTTAGAAGAAGGGATTTCGCGATGTTCATAGAACGGGAGAGAAGTAAAGAGAGGGAAATGTAAAAAGAGCGCGTCACAATTCTCACGCGCTCTTACGTGAATCATTTTTTTCCAATATGGCGGGCGTAGGCGAGCCATGCTTTGCGCGTTTCACCGACGCCCGACCATCCCGACGCCGTCGAGCCGAATCGAACGGGGGAGATAATACGTATGTTTCCCTCAATTTTTTTTCGCAACAGTCGCGACTACGCTTCTCCCTCGTTCACGCTCATTGTTGAGAGCGTCGTCGTGAGCCGAACCTAGAGCGTGCGTCGTGTTGAGAGCCTCGAGGCGGAAAGCGGAAAGGAAACGATAAACGATGCGGGACGTCGTTGCGCAACAGTCGCTGATCCGCTTGGCGTGCAGCGTCCCGCGCGCAGTAATATCGAGACACCTAGCTGGTAAAGACAAATCTCGCAAAAATCTACATACGCGCGGTACGTGTCTTTCGCGGAACACTCGAGAGAGATAGAAGTGGAGAGAGATTCATAGTAACATCCGAGTGACTATAAGGATAGTCAGAGACAGGGAGAGAGAGGGAGAAGGAGAGGAGGGGGAGAGAGAGAGAGAGAGAAGCGTGAAGAACGAGGATACACTTAGCCTCGGCTAACCTTAGGAGAATCGGTGCGCCATTACGACATGCGCGTCTTGCGAGAGCGTCTAGCATCGGTACGAGCGACAACGGAGCCATCCGATCAGTTGCGTACGCCATTCCGCGTACAACGAAAAACACGTCGCGTGGTGTCAATGGCGAGTGAAGCGTAATTAATACCTCCTGTCTGAGAGCTTGAAATTCATAATTTACCCGAGGAATATTTCTCTCTTTTTCTCCCCCTTCGAAATGACACCTTTGCTTTAGAAAGAAACGTACACGCACGAACGAAAGAACAGACAGACAGACGGACGGACGATGGATACACCCACGTCCGCGATATCTTAACTTCTCTTCTCTCTTCCCATCATCGGCTCCGGATTCTATGCAAGGGTGGGGATCCTCGTTACCTCGAGTTATTCGTTATCATTGTCATCGTTGCCCTAATTCGTCTGACGCGCGCCGCATCTGGCTGCCCGCTACGGGTACCTTCGCCCCCTGACGTTTTCGCGTTCCCCTTCCCCGGGGAATGTCGGTGTGCTGAGGTTCGACTCCCTTCTTTCTTGATGTTCCCCTACCCTTGCCAGTTCGCCTTCTTTCTCGCGTTCCATTCTCGCGGTATATGCTACGTCGTGGTGACGCGCGCGAGAGAAAGAGGAACCGAGCTCTATTTCGCGGTAGGTTCCCACCTATGGTACCTCCCCCCTACCCTCATCGCGCTCCTACCCCTTACGGCACCCGTAGGGGCACCGTCGCCGTTGTGGAGTGGGGTGAGATCCTGGGCCACTTTGACGACTATCCTCCCTGCTCCCGGATCCCTTTTAGGTAGGGGGAGGGGGTGAAGTGGGGAGCCCTCACCCCACCTTCGTGCACGCGGAACGATATTGCCAAGGCTCCGATTTGGAAACATGTTATTCACTTTACCACTTTGCTAGAATGTCCAATTTTTATTTTGTTGGAAATACGTAGGGTGAAGAATGGAAATTTTGCTTGGGTAGATATATATATATATATATATAGTAGCCGGGGAGTAAAGGTCGGGAATTTGTTTGCGTTATGTGTATCGACGAAATTGCGGTAGGATTAGAGTTAGGATTAAGAGTAGTGACAGATCGGTAAAAGTATATAGGTATAGATATAGGATAATCATGAGATAAGGATAGAGGGATAAGGACAAAAAAGATCATGATTTCATTGCACGTGCGACATTTTAGTTGTCAATCTCAATTTTATTATTATTAATTTGTTAATTGTTATTAAGATGAATGTGTGTGGCAACCGAATGCTATATTTTTTATTACTACCAAGTGAAAGATCCTGAAAAGACGAACATCCTGTCTAATTAATAAGATTTAAATTTTTGATATGTTCCATTATAAAATTCTTCAAATAATTGATTTGAGAGTAAGTCAGAATCAGAATCTTTTCGATATCTTGTTCCACAAACACGATGGTGGAAATACCATAGAAATAAATAAATGAATAAATAAAAAAACGCCTGTGTTGCGTTTGATAAACGCACACTGATTTTAGCACGTATGTGCATTTCTCATTGTAGGTTGCATCACACATCTCTTTGTTGTCTTTCTAGAATTGATGTTTTTAGTGTTCGTAATAGCGGAAACAATTTCGTATGATTAAAGACGACTTTCCTTGTATATTTTATTTTTGTATGTACCACACGCGTGTCGAATGTGCGTAAAATTATATATCAACGGTTTTAAGAAAATTGGTTAATTTTTTATCTGACCGTGTCCTAAGTATGGTAATAGAGGATAACGTCTTATTGTTAGTCAAGCCAACCCGACACCACTCACGTATGTCTCATTTAAATTGTCTTAAGAGTGTAGTAATATAACGATTGTATCTTTTCTTGAAGATATGTTGAATTTTAGAGATAAAACAAATTTGTAATCAATTGCTAAAATAACGATACACATCTCTTTCTGTTACAGGTATAATCGTTGAACATTTGAAAAATGAATTTCACACCTTTCCCTGGGTTTACTGGCTCACTGCCGACCGGGACCGTTCATCAATTTGCCACAGCAAAATTCGCGCAGAATCTTACTACTGGAGGACAAGTGGTCGGAGTTTTATCCGGTGGCGAAGGTGGAGTTCACTATTTGAGGCCAGTCGATCCGAATGGTTTTGCCGTGGCCCAGAGCGGTAATAATCAACAACAGCAAATTATTACTTTGCCTATCACTGTCCCGGGAAAGGATGGCACGCAGCAACAACAGACTGTTCAGATACAAGTGGTCAATCCTAGCGTGTCTCAAAGCGGAAACAGCGGCGATCAGCCAAAGTATCATTTGGCACCGATATCCCTGAGTCAATTTCCACAGGGAGCAGCTACCGTTCTCACTGTTGCCTACAGTCAGCAAGGTGCGGATGGTGTTCAAATTCAAGTACAACCACAAAACACCGTAGCGACTACGCAAACGTAAGTGCAACCATCCAACATTTTTGTTTCTCACATTATATGTCATTTTGCATTTTGCAATAAAAAATTAAATTTAATTGTAAAAGCAAAAATTAAGAAAAAAAAAAGAAATTGATTTCACTGTTTAATCCGATTGTTTGATATTCGATTGCAGATCCGATCAGACGACACAAAGTACGTCTACCGCTGTAACCACTACGTCTCAACAGACTATCCAACAGACGGTGCAGCTTCCGGGAGCACCCGAAGGTCTGACTGTAGTCGCCCAAATTCCTCAAGACTTGATTCTGCGAGAAAGTATAGAGGAGTCTAAAGAGGATGTAAAGGAAGGCACGACACCTGTGGCTCTTATTAAACGAGGCAGTGTCAAGAGTCAAGGTAATCAGAGTGGGGAAGAATTCATTACTTCTATGCCTGCCAGTTGGCAGAGCCTCGCTGCTCCGGGCTCTACGGTCGCAGATTATCTCTCTAGACTGCCAACAAGTACTTTGCCGCTTAGTTTACAACACTTTCTCAAGTTTTCGGCGGAAACTATTAAAAGGGAAGCTACCATTGAATCCAGTCCGCTCGGAGCGGATGGTCTCGATGCTTCCGGAAGCACAGCTTCAGGAGAGCAAGCTGTGCAGATTACAGTCGCCGGGGGAGAAACAGCGATCATTCCCGACGTTGTTGAAGAACAAGAGCCAGGGGCGAAACCGAAACGGAAAAAGAAATACAAAAAGAAGCCACCGAAACCGAAGAAACCAAAACCAGGGCAAGTAAGCATAGTTACCGCTCTCGATGGTACGACTCTATTTTGCTGCCCTCAATGTAATATGGCGTATCCGGAGAAGGAAAGTTTGGAACAACATCTGATCGGACACAAAATAGAGAGGAGATTTATATGCGATATTTGCGGCGCTGGTCTTAAACGGAAGGAACACTTGGAGCGGCACAAATTAGGTCATAATCCTGACAGGCCTTTTATTTGTTCCGTTTGCATGAAGGGTTTTAAACGAAAAGAACACTTGAATCTTCATTTTGTTATACATTCGGGACAAAAGACCGAAGTTTGTACCGAATGCGGCAAAGCGTTCTATCGGAAAGACCATCTCAGAAAGCATGCGAGATCTCATCTTACTAAGCGTGCCAAAGAGGATCCACTGAATACGAATGATACGACGCAGAATCAACAACAGGCGCAAGATCAACAACAACAAGTGGAACAAATGCAGCAACAGTCCTCAGTACCAGAGTTGCAGCAAATTCAGATACAAGTAGGACAAGGGTCTCAAGCGCAGATTCATCAGATATCCGTTAGTGAGCAGTCTACCGTAGTTTTACCTACAGCGGCTGAAACTGGAGCTATGACTATGCTTCATCATCAACAGCAGCAGTCGCAGCAGCAGCAACAGCAGCAGCAGCAGCAGCAGCAATCGCAACAACCGCAACAGCAACCACAGCAACAGCCGCAGCAACAGCATTAGCAACAGCATACCGCCCCAAATCAACTTGGGCGGTACTTTCGTTTCAATCATCAGCACGCAAGAGGTCGTACACGACACATTGTACTCGCTGATTGAGTTTTGCAAATTCGATAGGCAAATTCATGTTATCGGACGAAAGTTTCGTTGGCTAGTTGATTACTTCGCAGCCTCCTTCAAAGGCAAACATTTGAAACGCCTCCATTTCTTTAAGATGTATGTCCTTGTCCATCGACACAAAGCCGGTATGTTGGGATTGAAAGTCTCGCGCCATCGGCTTAATCATCTTTGATCACGGCACAATAAGCTCGCGTACGTGTTTGTAATAATTATCCTGTAAAGCGCGTCGAGCTAAAGTGACAAAATGCGCGTATACACGAATTTCTCTTTTTTACGTACACGTTGTAGCGTACGTAAAAAAGAAAGCAAGAAAGAAGCCACAGTCGCCACCGCCGCTCGCCTCAAACAAGATTGTTTTTGTCGCTGATCCAGTTCCATGACGCAAGTTAGAAATAAATATGAAGTTTATATAAATATATAAAATATATAGATATACACAACACAAAGGCAAAAATATATATTTTTGAAAGCGCGAACTGGATTCGCCCAAGATAACAAGGCGATCGAGTTTTGGGCTAATAATAATAATAATAATAATAATAAAAATAATAATAATAATAATAATAATTCGCTTTTACGACGACGATGATAAAATACGTAATGAAAGAAATAATACGGTATGGAGCAGTATGTTTGTAAATACACGCGCGATTTTTCATCTCTGAAGGAGACGTAGTACTATTGATACGTGTCGTATGCGCGAGATGAATCTTATTTATTTCTCTTATACATCAATACGATCGTGACATTATAAGGGAGCCTGCCGATAAATCGTAAAGTCCAATTTGTATTTTGTAGGAATATATCGACGGAAGCATGCTTACATTTTTTTCTATTTAGATCATTGCATATGTTGCCTTCGTGTAAAGACGCAAAGTGTGTTGGTGACGATCGAATCTGTGTGCTGTATGTACGAATAACGAGATGGTGGTAGAAATACATATAAAGAAATCATAACGTTAAAATAATTTTTCTGAAAAGGAGAGACTAATTACGAAAAATTACCGAAATGCATTTGCGTTGCGTGACGATTATGTGCTGCTCCGAAATCGACGTTTTTACAATCAATTTAATTATTTCAGGATCCATGAAGGATTCATATTTTCACTCGGTTGATTCAATATCGATGTTTGCTAAAAGAAGCAAATCGTTTCTGCGGCACATCGTTACTTGAATCATTATGGTGAAGTGCGAGGTAGATTCCTATCAATTGGACAAGTATACATATAATACAATAGAAAAGTATAACAAAGAGTGTAGAGAATTAAATCCTCGAATGTGCTAACCAAATCGATCAATCGTGATTCACCTGAAAAAGCTTTTTGATAAAAGGTGTATGTATACATGAAAAAAAAAAAACTTCTTATTGTAAGTATCACAATTAAAGGCAATGGGTATATAATTGTACAAGAAATATTATTATTTTATTATCATAATATTATATAGATATATATCATTATCGTAGTTAGGCTAAATAGTATATAAGTCATTTTCATTGTTACTTACATAAATATTGGAGGAGAAAACTGAAATAAAACATACATTTAATACAAAACTTATCGCCTCTCTAATGAGATTTACATAACATTTTCCTTTTCGAATTAATTCTTTTGAAAATAATTTTGTTGTATAGATAGGTTGGCAATGACGTAGGAATGCTGAACATTACATGTGTTACAATCGCGAGAGAAGGATAAATCGGTCGAAAAGAAGATGGATATATGTATGTATAGTGGCATGTGGGGCGACGAGAAAAGCTTCAAGTTAAAATTTCGGTGCTCGCTTGCTACTCGCGCTACTTTCGCCGGCCGCGATGATGTGGCGCGGTGTGGCGCGGTGCGTCGCGTCGGGACTGTCGGGAGACCCGGGACGGGAGAGAGAAAAAATAGTTAAGAGGCTGGCACAGTAGAGGGCGGATAAGTGGGATGGGGGCACCGGCTTGAGAGACAGGTGTCAACTATACACCGTACAACGAGGGATCTTTTTCGGTGGCAGCCGGTTGCGTGAAAAAATTGATCCGGGCAAGCTCAAGCGAGGGTTTCAAGTTACCGAATGGTAAGTGACATTTTCATATCTTTACATTTCGTCTGCGAGCGTGTCCGCGCGAAACTGCGCGAGTTACACGGCCATTTTCTCTCGAGTTTGGTGCGATGATGGCCCCACGCTGCGCGTATCGACTAAGTATCCGATGGGGCGGGATGAGGTGAGGCGATGAGGAAGAAGAGAGGAGAGGAAGGGTGGCGGTTGCGTCCCTACGCGTGTAACCCGTCCCCTTGACAATAGACTTCCCCTCCACGCGCGCGCGCGTGCACCCCATCTTCTACGATCTTCAGTCGGCGATTTTTTTTAGTCGCATCTGTTTTTTTTTTTTCGTCGGCATGTTCTCGAATGCGACCCGGCGTTTGTTACGTGAATAACAGGGGTGGTAAGCCGTGTCTCGCCACTCTCGCCCTGGTGCGTCCTTGGTCGCCGATCGACGATTGCTGGTCAGGTTGGCACAAACCAGCGAGTGTCAGTGTTCAAGTGGCGGTTAAGGTGGCTTAACCCGCCGCCACCACAGATAACGTATATTACGATTATTCTCGTCACGACGGACATTGGTCGACACACAGTGCGATCGTGTGGTGACGCGGTGCGTGTCTACCACCGATGCGTTTCTGTCTTTAGTGTCTTTCATTCGCTGTCTTTCTCCTGCTCTCTTTGATTTTCTCTCTCTCTCTCTCTCTCTCTCTCGCTCGAGCGCGCGCGCAAGAAAAATCTGCCCCCGCATTCTCGTCTCTATCACGAAGATCCCCCTCCGAAGACCCCGGTCCGGCGAGGAAACATGGGAAAAAGGACATCGTTGTGAGTAAATATAACGCTAGGCATCGTTCGGTGGTGCCATCATCGACATCATCATCGTCGTCGTCGTCGTCACCACCGCCACTACTGCTGCTGCTGCTGCTGCTGCTGCTGCAGCTGCCGTTGCTGCCGCCGTCGTCGCCGCTGCTACCACCATTACCACCACCACCACCACCACCACCATCACTGCTGTTGCTGCTGTCGCCGCCATCGTCATCGCCGTCGCGTCGTCTTTATACATGGACCAGATCTGAAAGTTATGCCAGCAAGTCGAGATGCCGTTGCATCGACGTGCGTAGAGGTACGCGATGCGAACGGGGCGATTTGTCGATGGAACGCAGCCGGCGACGGTCTTTCGGCTCGCTCTTTCACTCCACGCGCATCCATTCACATTTACCTCTCTCACACTTGGCTCAAGGAGATACATCTCCTTGGCATCGAGTAACCTTGAATTTTTTGCATCCTCCAAAAATTACTCGCTCAGAGGACACTCATCTGTTTTCTTTCTTTCTAGGTACACGAATTCCGCTTACGGTCTGCAATGAATTTCCCACCGTTTGGAGGTCACTTCCCCAGCACTATACCGAGTATTCATCAATTCACCACTGACAGCTCCAGCGGTGCGGGCGCGCGTTACGCCAATCATTTTCCCAATCAGCCTCCAATTGGAGTGCCGGTTGTGGGAAAATACCGTCCTGAGAATAACGGCGTACAATCCGCTCAATCGCAAGTGATGATGAACAATAAGGCTAACTATCCCAACAGTAACGTTCACCATTATCCGAATGTGCCGTACTCTCAAGCCCAGTCTGTTCAACAACGACCAACCAACTCACCTGGAATGCAAGAGAAACGATCTTATCATCAGGTAAAAAAGCGTTGCACCCTTTGCGCTTTTTCCAAATTTTAAATGCATTTCTTTTACATCTTTATTATTGTTACACATTCACAAATATATGAAACAGACGATAGAGATTTGATCGCGAGAAAGAATCGCGATTGTCGTAGCACTCGATAAAAATTATTTTTCTACTATATGTCATTCTTTAACAGTTTACATGATGAGAATTTGTTCTCAAATTCCTTTCTACGATCTGTCAATTAGAGCTCTGTATATTTTTGTACCGAAATCGTTGAGAAAGAAAAGAAAGTGTAGGAAGGGATATACCAATGATTAACAATGCATTGAACGATGCATTTATTATACGTATTTATATTAATACGAAAAATGACCGTTTCATTTGCATCGACTTAATACAAATTAAATTCAATTGCTTCAAGAATCTGTAATTGGATGGGATCTTCAAATTTTTTATGTATATGTATTCTTCTGTCCAGCAATCCACGGAAACGATAAATCAACAGGATGTTTGCAATCTTTTGCAAGACAAAGACAAGAACAAAGAGAAAAAGGGTGAGGAGCAACAACGCAATGGAGAGACTACCACGAATGGTGCTCAACAGGATTACACGATGCACCAACATCATCAACAGCACGCTCATACTCAGACGCCAGCTACTATGCCCGCGACATGGCAGTCGCTCGCGACTCCTGGCTCCACCGTAGCTGATTATCTCAGCCATTTACCAGCTAGCACTTTGCCATTGAGTTTACATCATTTTCTCAAGTATTCAGCCGAAAGTATAAAAAAAGAGTCGGAAATGGCGCAAACGACCTCGGTGGCTGTGGCGACTACGACAACGCCCAATATAATGATGTCACCGAATAATAAAAAGAAGAAAAAGAAGAAGACGCCGAAAGAGAAGAAACCACGTCCAAAGCCTGGTGAAATTCGTTTAACGACAGCGTTGGACGGTTCGACATTATATTGTTGTCCAGAATGTCATATGGCGTATCCAGAACGAGAATTGTTAGAACAGCATCTTTTAGGTCACACTTTAGAGAGAAGATTTGTTTGTGACATATGTGGCGCTGGCTTGAAACGAAAAGACCATCTTACGCGTCATAAACAGAGCCACAATCCTGAACGACCTTACGTTTGCACCGTTTGCTTAAAGGCTTTTAAAAGAAAGGAACAATTGACGTTACATTTTGTAATACATTCTGGAGAGAAGCGGCATGTGTGCACTGAATGCGGCAAAGGATTCTATCGGAAGGATCATTTACGGAAACATACCAGAAGTCACATTGCGAGAAGAGTGAAGGCTGAATTAAGTCAAAACGCTGGTAAGATTTATGCATTAATTATCAAATACGAGCGTAAAAATTATTATATATATATATATATATGTATAATTATATACATGTATATATTCTTCTCTTATTCTTCTCGTCGTATCATCAATATGATTTTTGAAATGCTACAGGTACACAACAAAATCAACAAAATAACGTTTCGAGTATGCAAACCACAACCGTCTCGGCGTCATCTGTTCTTCCGGGTGGACATTCGGGTCCCCTCCTGTCCTGAGCCCCGCCACCAGGGAACTTTCAGGTTCCCCACCCAAATAATATTCTTCATACTCATACATCGCATCATTCGCTGCACCATCATCATCTAACGGCGGTAAATGTGGCGCATCAATCGAGCGTCACACCACTCGCTACATCTGGTCACTATCAGTCGCATGAGCTTAGCTTTTTGGGACACGTTAAAGATTTCTGAGACCAGAAGAGGACCTCGGCTAAGAGGTAACACCAAGATGCTAATTTAATTGTCACTATCGCGTCAACAACGCGTGATGAATAGTTCTGAGACTGACCCATAATTTGGATTGAGTGTGAATTTTATAAACGTACTTGCGATATTATGTGCTTCAAAAGCACGTTTCCTCTCGTTTTTTAACTTGTCAATATAACAGGGAAAAGGTGGAGGAGAAGGAGGAGGAGGCGGCGGCGGCGGCAGGAAAGTGATGTCATTCCCTCTTCAAGTCATAATTTATTCTTGACTTGACGACTTCTCTTATTAATCTTGTAATTTTTGTTGCCAGTAATGTTCTCACCACAATAATGTCATACATGAAGAGATATGGTCACATTTTGCGCAAGTATACAAGATGTCCAATTATAATAAATCTTTCTCGAAACTAAGTTAGATCTGATATATTTCTTTTTGTTTTATTTTACAAATAAAAAATTATTTTGTGAAAATAATTTTTGTCTAGCTGGAAACTAGACAGAATTCAAACTTGAAATTAAGGAACTATTTTTATTTATTTTTACTTTACTTTTTTTAATATACAAAATCTTTTTTTCACGTCAATTAATTTTTCTAGTCATTCTGCATAGTATTAAGGTAAAGTCAGAAATCAAGTTTATACGAAATATAGGTTACAAATTTATTTAATATAAAAATGATATTTATTTTGCTTAGATATATATATGTGTGACAGTTTTGAAAAAAAAATTACTTAAAATATTAATTATATTATATAGTTGGACATCTTGTAAATGTTAACATAGAAGCAATTTGGTGAGGTAAAGTAAAGCGTATCTTTTAGAAAAAAGCTTTTTTCAAAATAATATATAAAAGAACAGTCATAGACACTATATGCTCTTTATAGCACAAACAAAAGTACATATGTGGAAAAAGTACTAATTTTCCACGAAAACTAGAGTAGAAGTTTGACTACAAGTCAAAAATTCTTGCCATATGTCATGTACGACGAGGAAAAAGAAGATATTTTTATGAAAAGTCGATGTAACTTAGGAATTAAGTGAACCGATGAAAGAAAGTGTGTGTGTGTGTGTGTGTGGGGGGGGGATAACATCTTTTTTTTTAATTTGTTCTTTTTTTATATTATTGCGTTGATATTCATATGAGTGATTTTTGCGGAAATTGTCAATATAGATTTATTTTTTGTTGAACAACGTTACAAGTGCAAATAGTGTGTAAAAGGAATGAAAATTACACATAATATTCCTAATACATTATAATAGAGTTGCAAGTTAACCCACCGATAACAGTTTTTTTATTTTACGAAAGTAGTATTATTTAATTTTTTTAATGCATAAAGGGGGAAAAGATATTAATTCTAAATTTTTTGGTTATGCCCTATAAAAAAAATGTGTCAAAAGCATAGCAATATTTCATGGCAGATAAAAATCATATCTCGCTCTATTAAAACTTTGTTTTTTTTTGTTTTTTTTTTAATTACATATAAATTAACAATATATTTTATATTTTTATGATAGTTATTCTAAATTTTTCTCTTTTGTGTGCGTGCAGCGGGGGGAGGGGGGTGTGAATTGTATGTGTATAATACTACATGTGAAATCTAAACATATTTGCCCAGATGATTGGAGCAATTGTATGCTATACGAAGTTATTACGTGACTTATCATAGCACTGAGCACTGCTTAATTAGCCTTTATAATTTTTATATGACTTTTTACATTGTTTTTATACATATTTTTCGTTGGACTTCTTATATTCGTTACATTCGTTGAATACTGATTATATATATATAAGATTTATTTTTAAATATAATTTTTAAGTATAAGCATATAGTATATACGTGTGTGTGTATGTGTGTAAATACATACCTACACATAGATGTCACACTGTGGTCTGTTGAACAATGTGTGTGTTTAAGGTAGTTTTTAATTTTTAACATATTTATCCAGATCATAAATCTCTTCACAGACTGTGATCATTTTCCACAGAGAACTCTGCTGTAATTATCAAACTGCGTTTTAAGTTTATATTTTTGCCTCATTTTAGTATTAATATTTGTGCCATCCATTTTAAATTCATTTTCTTATAATTTTTTCTTGCCATACTAACAAATATATGTTTTTATAGTCAGATACTCTAGCATATATAATTGTAGGTACCGCTGTGTGCATGGGTACGCACGTCATACACACATACATATTTTTAAAAAAATTATTATCATTGTTATCATTTCTTACCATCGTCATTATCATTATTGTTATTACTACTATTGCTATTATTATTATTATCATTATTATTATTATTATTTATCCTTTATATATTCATAAATAATTGTCGTGAAGTAACGACAATTGAGTGACGAACATGTCTATATATTGTATAAACATACATATTGCAACGTGAAATGTTAGAAATATGATGAGAAAGGGTTAAGGGATTTGCCTCTTTATTACATTTTATAATATAAAAATAAAAACTACAAATTGTAGTAATTGTATCTCTGTTGATTAAAACTTTACTGAACTTTGTTGAAGAAAAAAACTGGATGTTAAAACATTTTGTAATTTATATACAGAATGTTTATGAAGATACGAGCTTATAATCTGATTACAATAATCTGATTCATTATTCACACATACATTACTATATTGTACGTTATATTAAAAAATATGTAACACTACGATCATAAAGTGTCCAGCTACACTTGTATTCTTTCGCGTGGATGCTTATCGCGGTTATGAGGTAAATGACATCTCTATTTGAATAGGCTTTTTAATCTTTTTCGTCATATCTCTAACATAAATCGTTATGAGTAATACAGAAAATTCAGGTTTTGTCAGACCTCAAATATAATGATATATTACAATTATTTCATACACTGATATATATACACGTGTATACTAAAAATCGTATGTAAGAGATCAATTTATATTAAGATATTTCATTGCCATGTACTTGTAACTGTCGAGGCAGAGCGTTAGTCTTAAATTTCATTAGCAAGTAAGAGTTTATATACAAATATACTATTTGATAAGGAAAAACGGAACAGAGAGAAAGAAAAGCCAAAAACTGTACGCGGGACGTATCAAATATCGCGCACTTTTTTTAATGCAGATATTGGGGAAAGGTTTTAGATGTATTGTAACGCAAAGGATTATTTATAACGATTCTGGAGATGAGAAGAATATCTGAGAAAAAAAAATAAAAACTTATAAAAAACTAAGTTTTAATTAGAGAACAATGATGAATTCTTAATAGTCTTTTTAGAAGTTATTAGAGATCATTCATCAAACTGCCGTATAAAAATTGATAATTGAAAAAGATGCCGCCGAATCGATTTTTTTGTTAAGACGAGAGCTATACTTTGGGTAATAAAATAGCATCACAAGACGATGTAGTGACATTATTTTGATCACTATCGTCGTCACTTTTAACATCACTTTGCGCTATTTAAAATGAATAAATGAAAAAAAAAATGCGAGATTTATCATACGTCCTATACCGAGGAGAAACGAGAATATATACGGAAACGATATGTAGAACGATATAAGGAAAGTAGCCTGTTTTTTGCAGGAAGGAATACAAATAACGATGAAAGATAATGAAAAATAACTTTATGGTTTATAAAAGAGAGAAAGAGAAGGGAGAAAGGATGAGAGGGAGAAGCAGATATTTCCAAAGTTCGACATACGTCTTCGACATACTGTTCAAACAAATGAGCGGCTCAAGGTCTATTTTGAAGGATAGCTAAAAGAACCTATTCCCATTCTCGACGAGGCGAACAGTTAATTCTTATGATTTATAAAACCGATCGTTTCGTCGAGCTACATAGATGTAGTAATGTTCCTGTAGAAAAAAAAAGGGAAGAATAGTTGATGCGTTTCTTAAAAAAAAAAAGAAAAAAAAAGTAAAAGAAATACTTTTCCAGTGCCTTTATATTGCGCTGGATTTTCCGCACCCGTATAGTTTTCCATGGTAAAGTCTAAGATCGAAAAAGCGGCGCGTTGTGCCTCTCCGTTCTCGGAACTACGTGTACACTTGTCCGCCTCTACGACGTTAGTTTGAGCGACCGTCTTCATTTTCGTATATCTTTTATCTTTTTCTGCGCCCGTGAGCGTCGAAGAAGTTATTCGAAAACAGATTCCGAATTATAATATGTGCAGGCGTCTTTGATTTTATTAAATGCTTCTTGTACCTGTCGATGCAGGATGTATTAATTTTTTCACAAAATCAAAAATCGATTTGAAAGACAAAAGAGATAAATACAATTTGTATACTCTGTGTTGTATTATATTTAGTGCATTTGATGAACGAAGATGCCATTCGAGATCATTTCATTTATATGGTATACCTTTTTCTCTCCTGAAAGAAAATAGAATGTATTCAATTCTTTTTAAACCGAATGTTTATTGATTTTAAAAATTCTAGGAGAAAAACACTGAATAGAAATGCCATTTCTATGAAATATCAAGCACGTTCGGTTTCGATTCGATTGAGACTGTCGATTGGACTTGATTATCTTTTATCACGATTAGAAGCGATCAATTAAAAAGGTATGGAATTTATAGAAGATGATGAAAATGATAATGATAATGATGATGATAATAAACTCATAGTAATAATAATCATAATAATAACATTAATAACAAAACAATAATAATATTAATAATAATAACAATAATGATAATAGTAAGATTAGAAGCAACATAGAGAAAATAAGATCCGATTCTCTCTCGACGCGCTTACTAGTTTTATGTGAGACGGCAGAAAAGTAAGAGTAATCGACTTTTCAAGTTGGCAACGATTTCCATTCGATGCGAATCATTATGTATGTACAATATGTAATTTTTCTCTCCTTTATATTTTTACAATTTCGACAATTTACTGTCTTATAATGTACTCTGTGAGTTTCCTTCGATACTTTTTTGTAATCGTAATGCTCGAAGTGAGAATAATTCCAGATAATTCAGCATTATTCTTTCCTTTTCACTTTTATCGCAAATGTATGTATATACATATGTATATACATTTACAAAGATATTTCTTGTTACTGTCACATCAATCCGCTATCTTTTTCTATTTTTTATTTTTATTTGCTACGAGCAGCGAGAATATATCGTTGAATAGTAGCTCGTGTAAAGACGACCATTTAAAAACTGTTCAGTCGTCAGAAGAATTATTCTACAAGAGTAGCGAAACGATTTAAAAGAAAACGTGACACCATTTCAATATACTCGAATGTGAGACTCTCAGGAGCAGAAATGGCAAATGAGAATCATATTTTTCTATGTGCAGTGTCAAAACTTTCAATTATCTGTATGAAGCTAAATAGAAGAAAAAGAAAGAATTTTAATCGATGTCTCGCCATAAGACGAGTATCGCAAGTGCGAGTGTAATTTTATAAATTGGTTCGTGCAAAAACAAAAGTTGAAGGGATGAGCGTACACTACTCTGCTTATTATTATTAAAATCATTTATTTCCGATTCGTCGGAATTTTTTCAAGGAAGTCATTTCTCGCGCGGAATGCACATACGTAACGTAAATACATCAGCATTACAGAGTAAGAGCATCTCGTTCGTCGGAAGATTTTGCATAAACCAAGGCGCGTCGTTATTATTATACGTTTAACAGAGGATCTCCACCGAACTATAGTTTAGTCTTTTTGGCTTATCTAATCGACGCCATGTCACTACGAGTGTGTGCTACGAGTGTATGCGTGATTACGTATGCGTAATTATAAAGTTTTTAACAAATATTATTAATTAACAGGCGATTGACGAAGAAACAAATTCCTCGACATAGTACAAACGCTCACAAATTCTTGTTTTTCTCAGATAGATTATAGATGCATGACAAGGTGTACAAGTCATACGAGTGAAACGACCGGCTGACCTCGAAGTATGAATTTCTTTTTGTCCATAGCGGTATAATCTTTTTCGAAATACGAATATATCTTATGTAGGATGTCGAACGCAAACGAGTCTTCACATTCAGATGAGCTGAGTGTGCTCAATTCAGTTTGTATTTTCGAAACAAATTTTAAATATAATCTCCATACATTTTTTCGTCTTGCTTATCATCTTCCTACATCTATATCTCATTCCAAACGCTACACTTTTTTACTTGGTTCATCGAAACGGATAGACGGATTTGGAGAAAGAAGAAGACGCTATTCTTTAATTCTTTCGCGAAACGACTTCGAGGACTTCCGGCAAATTATCAAATGACACCGACGCCAACGGCTTTGTGACATGATCTCGTTTAAATGTTTTGATGCTTTTGTTTTAATTGTTTGCACGTTGCTTAACCATTTTGGCTGAACATTTGTACCGCAGGTACTTCCACGGTACAAAAATACTGATTATACGTTGTATATGAATCAAAAATTGATACATGATGAACAAGCATGGTAAGGGCAGTGATGAAGAGAAAAGAAAAGAATAAGCACAAATGTATTAAACGAGAAAGAGAGCTATAACTGATTCTTCTGATATATAACGTCAATGTTTTATTTTTATATGTATAAAATGCTTAAAATATTTATCAAGTCTAAGAACGAGAAGAAATGAGAAAAATTGAGCTGGACGCGGAAGATGAAAGAACGTATGAGTAATAAAAAAAAGAAATATTCTGAAAAACCCATAATAATAGATGTGGATAAATTTAGATCGAGAGACTGAAAGTCTAAAATTTGTACGCATTTTTCAGATACTTTAGAATTTTAGATAATATGCTTTATATAAATAATAATGTCCTTATACAAATATGTTACATCATGTATATACACACACACACACACACACACACATGCATACACATACACACATATATATATATATATACGTACATACGTACGTATGTATGTATGTATGTATATAAATTGTAAGAAAAATCATATCAGATATTTATTGTTCGGAGTCATTATATTCAGAAAAACTCGTCTCTCTCTTTTTCTCTCTCTCTCTCTCTTCCTCCTTATCCTGCGCCGTTTTTTATTTTTTCCATTTTTGCACGCGAGAGTGACGATAAAATTATATATCGATCAATTTAAGTATATATATTTTTACATTTGCAATGTGTATAGAAACGAGATAGACATTTTTACGTAATAAGTTATGAATTTGTTTATTATTAATAATTATGTTGTTAATAATGACAAAATGCAAATTCTTTTCTTCTTTAGTGTTAAATTCTGTTCTTCTTTCGCACATACGTATTATGTGTCTGTGTGTGTGTGTGTGTGTGTGTGTGTGTGTGTGTGTGTGTGTATGAATGCAATGTGTACAAGAATGCAACTTAACGATATAAAATAAGAAAATGCCAATAAAAAATATTACGAATTTTCATATAAATGCAATGTATGTGAAGCCTCACAATGGACATATATTACCAAGGTTGGAAATGACAAAAAAAATCAACATCATCTTGTAACTTCTTTTCCGCGGAAAAACGTTCAGATATATTCAAATATATTCTCTTAGCGCAATAAAAACGATAGTGAAGTGACGGACTCTCTTCATATACATTAACAAGATTTTAATAGATGAAATTATTTTTAACGACATCTAAATATAAGTAAACAGATAAACCGTCCTTTCTCAAGTAACGATAACTTTTTATCTACAGATATGCATCAATGAATTCATGTGGATGATATTTCCATTTTTTTGTAACAAAATGCTCTTGCTACAATTGTTAATAGTCTTGTTAAATCGCAAAAATACTATGCTATTACGCTTTTTTATTGATCGTTGCGCAAAATTGTATAAATTAATTTCAAATACTTGATAGAAATATTTAACGATTCACAAAAAGATGTAAAAAAAATTGCAGATTTTATATATATATTATATATAAAATACACGACAGACTAGAAACATTGTTACAACGTTAGTTATACTGCTTCTCGGTTCCTTTAATTGCTTTAAATGCAAAGGAGAGGCGTTAAAGAAACTAGCAAAGCCGACAACTTGTAGAAATAATGTGTTGCGTTTTATTGCCAAGCTGATGAAGTTGGCATTATCCTTTCATTTTTGCTTAGGAAAAGATTTAACGAATTTCATGAATTTTCTGTGATTTATTTCTCTATTGTCTTGTAATATTTTATACAGCCTAGTTTATAAATTTATCTCTTGAAGAAACGAAGAATATCGCTTCGAGTAAGAAACAGCAATAAAGACTAATTGTAAATCTCAAACTCGATTCTGTTTAGAACAGTTTTAATCTAAGCGATAATATATAACGAGTCGATGTTGGTATCGTGTAGTATTCATTCGGGAAGCGAAATTTATCAATTATTCAATTTTTCCAAGATCAAGATTTCTTCCACAAGAGTAAAAAAAACGAAATAATGCAATAATGTAAAATATACAGTGATACGATCACTTTGAATTTTAATGTCGACTTGTTCAAGTTTAAAAAGTCCCAACAGGTACATTCTCACTATACAGGCAACTTTCTACACGCAGTGTATTATAAAGGATATTACAAAATCGATAACATTATCGTAATCTTATCTATCTGTTAACAAATAATACATAGCAATAAGATGACTCCCTTAGGAACATGGGTGTATTCTTATATATATATATTAGTAACAAATTATCGTAAAAAATTGCGAGTATGTTGAATAAGGTTGATTCTCTGGTATTAAAACTTATGGAATAAAAACATGTAAATGAGAAAAGTAAAGTAAAATGACTTCCTGCTTTACAGACGGAGATAAGAGACAGAGCGCACGTTAGATGATTGTAAATTATTGCGCAATAACTATGTTCGTAAAATTGAAAGTGGGGGAGGTCCTCCAGATTGCCTCATCATTATAGCAAAACTACTCAGCCCTTGGTCGGTACTCGGCTGCTGATTGGGCTCGTTGGGATTGTTTTGCGAAATACTCAAATGTTTGCCTCGACTGCTATTATGACTTTGCAAATGTTTCTTCAAGTGATCTTTTCTATAGAAAGCTTTGCCACACTCGGTACAAATTTGATTTTTGCTACCCGAGTGAATAATCATATGACGCGCCAAGTGCTCGTTACGTTTGAACGCTTTACAACACATGTTACATTGATATGGTCTATCTTTGTTATGACCTTGCTTATGGCGATCCAAGTGTTCCTTTCGTTTCAAGCTTGCCCCGCAAATATCACAGACATGTGGTCTCTGTTTATGATCTTCTAGATGTTCGTGAAGCGCCTCCCGATCATCAAATCTATATGCACACTCGGGGCAATGGTAAACCAACATACCTTAAACAGGCAAAGAATTATATAAACGTAATATAAAATCGTGAATCAATGTATAGTGAAATAGAGGCAAATATTTCCATACAAGTATCTTGCCGCATGCAATTACAATAGGATATGCATAGATATAACGAATTGTCGAAGAAAAAAGCTAGATTGCTTCAACGTATAAACTATTTATTTTAAGCAACTCACCATTAATATGTTGCGGTTCAATTTCAAATTCGATTTTCGGTCTTGCTTCTTGACACGTGATGGTAGAATTTGTACCACAGTCCTCATATTTGGCTGCGTATGGTAAACCTAATGTACTCGAGCACCGCGCCAAATATTCAGAGGTAAGCCTGAAATCAATTTGCAGAGGATCCGTCATAGTTGCAGCGTCCACTTTCTGCACGGTCTGCGTGCTGGATGACTGCTGCGAGATTTGTGGACAAAGCTCTTTGCTGCTGCGCAAATTGTTTTCATTCCGATTTTCGTCGGTTTGTTGGAAATGTTGCGATGGATGAGTAGAATAACCATATCCAGTCACGTTAGATCGCTGCAGAGTATTTGGTAAATATTTCACATTACGTGGATCGTAAGCCATTATATATATATATACCAATTGAATGAGTAAGCGTTTGGAAAAGTGTATGTGTCTTGGTATCCACTCTCGAGAAATTCTCGACACTACGCGCAATAGTACATATCTGCAGACGTCTATCTGGGCAGATGTCTAGATCTGCTCTAATATCTGCAGTGTTTGTCTCGCCTTGAAAAAAGATGGGAAAAATTTTAAGACTAACTTGACTTTGAGCATGCAATCGCGACATCGTGTATTGACGCGGTTTACGGTATCGAGAGAGATTTTGAAAAAGTGTCTTACGGCGAGGCCAGTATCATTGTAGAAAAAGTAATCGCCGCGTCCTGTCACATTGTGTTTCCATCATGCTCATCGCGCTTTTTCGATGCTCCTCTGACAATGAGTCCTCTGGCGAAACGAACATTTCGGCATTTCGGTCGAGACGTCGCGTCGCGTCGCGTCGCGTCGCGTCGCGTCGTCGGTGCTGGCGAATTTCTCTGTAATTCGTTGAAAATGATGCAAATTATGGTAACGTTCCTGACGTTCTCACTTTTCTTTTATGGTACTGCGTGTTGGATAATCAGCGTAATGCAGCAAACGCTGCTGAAACGCTGCGGCCTAACCACTTGTATCGTGATCGTAACCGGCCATCTTTATGCATCAGCTGCTGCGTTCTGAAACCTTACTCCGGCTCCAAAATCGGAACATCGGAGCGACCGAAGCCGTCAACGATTCAAACAACTCGACCGTCGTTCGTCATTCCGCGAAAAACAGAAAGTATAACATGCTATATATAAGCGAAATATAACCTATTCGTCCCAAATTGAAAAAGTCTATTTGAAAAGTATAATTTCCAAGCGTATGTATGTACATACATACAATATGCATATTAGATTTTATCGAAAAATAAATGTTAAAAACATTAGCCACGCCGCGCAGCTTTTATATATTCCACCGCATTTTTATTTCGCGCCGAGAAAGAGAGTATGTGTGTCGCGCTCCTTCCCAAAATCAGATTACAAATTATTGGATTGTCACATCGTGCCAATTTGCTCCGCCGCGACTATTAAACAAGGATAAAATAATAAAATAATACCACTCGCCTCTCTCGGTGCTAGTGTGAAGCGCTTTGAGTATATAGAAATTTGAACGCGTCCCTAGGGATTCATTGTGTGTATCTTGCAACAAAGTGAAAATTACAAACAGCAAATTCACTAGATATTGACCAATGAAATTAAAAATATTTTAGTGAATTTGCTCACGGCCTGGAGTTGTATATGGGGTTGAATGAGCAAAGTTTTGGAACGCGCAGTCAGGCGCACAGTCCAGTACCACACTGTCTACACTGTCTACATTAAGGCGTCAATGCCTTCTTACCTAGTGTATGTATACACTGTTCTAAGAGGTTAAAGGTACCATAACTGACCATAATATACATCACGACGCAACACTGTTGAACGAGCTCCGATTACTTGCAAATGAGACGAAAGATTCACGAATATAGTCATATAAGTTGTCATAACGTATTTGCAGCATACACACGTAGACGGCAAAAAGGTTTGAAAACAAATTATCTCTTTTATTTTACTCCGTTGAGTTGAAGTCGCATGAGCGATCATGTTATACGATTTGTGCGCGCTATATACTTGATCATCAAGAGTTCAAGATTACCGACAATTCTCAAATCATATGTGAAAACGCTGCAATATCATGCTTTTTAGTCACTGAGCTTTTCGTTACGAATTACATTTTACGAATTTCTTGATAGAGTTCAAATACGAGTAGGCCGAATTTTTGCGTACGAACGTAACGCGGAAAATTCTCGAAATTTTGTTCTTTGCGTTCTTAGGCTGCGTTCGCTTTGGCGCTTACAGCGCTTACATCATTTCAATCCTTGTTTATCAAATGTTAAACAAGGACAAATAATGCTTAGAAGTGCTGTAAGCGCTAAACCGAACGCAGCCTTAATTCAACCGAATAAAGTACTTTAGAGAGGGAGAGAGAGACAGAGAGCGCGTGTGTACAATTATTTATTATTAAATTTATTTACTTTACATATACGTACGCTTACTTACGTTTATCTTTACGTGTATAGTACTTATTACGTTACGCCTAATTACAATTAAAGGTATAATATATACCTATATATAGTTAATTTACATCGAGCACTTTAAATAATATACTAAGAGTATGAAGCTTTGTTTATATACCAAACGTATCAAGCAATTTGGTACACATATGGCACGAACGCCAACAACATACAAATTAGTGTTGGATGTAAACAGTAATAGATTAATTCTTTCGCGTTCAAGTCGATATAAATTCACCCTGTAACCAGCTTTACGAACTGTTACTTGACTTTCCCATCGAAAGCGAAGATGGACTTCTCGCGGAAACTTTAGCAAGAGAATTTTCCATTCGGCTGATTAATTTTTGAAAAGTGTTCCTTTTGACCAAAATAGCTCCACTATTTTCGAGCGAATCCTCAATTTCGTCGCTCCCCTCGTTTCCGCAGCTTCGTTTATTTGGCTCGATGGAGCAGTTAAAATCGCTCATAACTCGTGACTTCCTGTTGATGGCAAATCGATTCCAAGTCTTTTTGTCGGAACTGATCGATTTAGCATCCTCGCTCTCCTTCTTTCCAGAGACAATGTCTCTTTGTCGTGCTGTAAAATCAGCCCACAACGCTATGTCGTCGTATAATTGTTCATTTTGTTCCATCTCATTCGCAGCGTCACGAATACACGAACTGCTTTTCGGTGACTGATAATGTTCTATCTCTTCTCCGCGAGCAGAAGTAGAGTCGCGCGTGCCGTTCGTCTCCGATTCTGTGTTATACGTCGAATCCTGTGTCAATTACAAAATTATTTGCTGTTGAAAGAGAATACAGAGAATAAAGCAAGAGGATAAAGAAAATTTCGTTTAAGTTAAGCAACTATATTAATCAAGAAACGAACCGTACGAATTATGGAAAGCGAAATTTTACCTGGTTTTTATTACATCGTTCTTGGTAAGCGCTAACATCATCATAAAATTCTTGCATTTCGTCAGGACTTTGGCTTTGCGCGGGCAATTTTACTTGATAGATTGGCCTGGGTGGTGGAGGACAATTATATTCCGGCAATTCCTCCTCCTTCTCTCTCTCGTTCACTAAAAGTCCCTGGTTTGGAGTCAGCTCGGACACGTCGTCGTAAGTAAGCATTTCTTTCGTATCGAAAGATGACGAAACTTTGTCCTTGTGGCAATGTCTCTCTCTCTTATCCGATTTGCCGGGAGATTCTTTTCTACTTAGAACTTTATCCAGAAAAGATTTTTTTTGAAGCTTGCTCAACATTTCGATCTGATCCTTGACATGATCTTTGGCGAATCTTCTGTGTGAAATCACATCACGCAAGCTCTGTCATCAAAACAAACAAATGAAAAGTTATTTAATTTCGGAATGCGATTATTTTTTATTTTTCTGCAATCGTTATAATTGTAATTCTAAGGAGAAAAGGATTTAAGAGAGAAGAAAGATGTGCAGAAGATGCTTGCATTATCTTGGCGACAGTAAACAAGTTTTAGTTGATTATTTAATAGATAATAGTATTAGAGGGAGCGGAGGGAGCGGAGAGAGAGAGGAGGGGGAGACGTTACAAAGTTGCTTCATTCACTGCAGTTTAATATGCGCTTTCGCAAAGTGTTAAATTAATTAAATAATTACTAAAATTCTAGGCTTACTTCCACGTCGTCGTAAAACTCTTCTCCTGCCTCGCCTGGTCCGTCGATGGATGCATCGTCATTTCGGTTCGATCGTTCCGATTCGATACTCGTAACGACATCGTCGTAGGTCTCTTGAGATGATATTGTATCGCGGGATTTGCCCTCCTTCATCTTGTCGTTTTTCTCGTTTTTTCCGTTGCAGGAACGTCGCGCAGAAACGTCGTCATACGCGCCAGCTTCCTCTTGCCTCTCGACGCCTGCATGATCCGCGGCCTGTTTTGTTTTCGACAATACCATATTTTGATAACGCGTTTCGTTCCTCAAGTCTTCAATTTTGTGATAAATATCGTCGTCATCGTCCTCATCGACGGTCGCTCTGTAAGAAGATATCTCTGTGAAATTGTCGGAGGGAGGCAAAGAGGGGAGCCTCCGCGGTATTCGAGCTGGTAACGGAGGTGCTCTTTCGCCTGTATCTTTTCGCTCGGCCTCGTTCTTGTTTCTCATACTTGTTGCCTTTGGCGATTCGGTTTTGGCCATCGTTGACTTGACGTCGTGATCGTCAACGGCTGACTTGTCTGCATCTCGATGTAATCGCGTAGCCTCGTTGCCTTTGCAACAATCTGTTGGCGAGGACTCGACCCGGATAGCTCGCTTCTCGTTCTCGTTCTCACGACATCCCACTTCACAGATCTTCGCTATCCATTGGTCCATGTCCTTGGGTGTTCTCGCGATGAACTGTAACGTTTCGTTTCCAGGACTGTATATCTCGAAGGCTGATTCGCTCTTTCGCCGGTCACGAGGAATCATATTCGGCGCCGGACGAGCCATGTAGCCCCGAATCGAATAAATAGCATACGGTCGATTGTGCCGTTCGCTTCGATAGATGAGCAAATGCGAGCCAACCAATGCGATCCAACAGGCACGGCTTTCCGACAGAAACAACTTCTTTCCTTCTTTCCTGTAGAGCGGGCCGCATTTGTAACACTTGCTTCTAATTTGCATCGCCGATAGATTCTTGTAAATTCTGATTAACATCTGGCCCTTATCACAATCGTCGGGATATTCACTTGCGACCGACAGACGACTCGCGGTCTGGCCGTCGTTTTCGAAGGTTTCGTAGTAATCCTGGGGTGAGAAAGGCGGCCGAGGGTGGAGCTGGGTACGTTTTTGAGATTCTTCCATTTTTACGTATTCCTCTGAATCGGCTTCGCTCCTTGTCAGCAATAGGCTTTTCGGGCCAGACTTCATGTCCAAGTAAGGTTCCGGAGATGATGCTCGAGCTCGAGTCGTAACGCTTAGGATGTTTTTCGAACGTATCAATAGTTTCTCCCGCAAGCTCTCGAGCGTGAGCGAAAGCTGTGCGTCGCCGAGACATTCCAGAAACGTTATCACTTCTATAAACAGAATCGTATAGAGCGCTTGCATAGGTATATCAAATGCGGCATTTGATAATTAAATTAAAAGCTGCAGGTATCAAAATAAAAATGACCTACATTTATGCGCATGCAATGTAAAACAAGATGAAGCGATATAAAAATTGTGTCCTGTAAAGACCGTTCCATTACAGGAATATCAATATATATATATATATATATATGTATATATATATATATATATATATATGTGTGTATGTATGTATGTATGTATGTACCTCGCAATGTATCACTGATGTTCATGTCGATATCCATATTGTCGTCGTAATGGCGATGTGTTCGACGCTTACGTATTTACTTTCAAGAAACAACTGTCACAACTTGGAGAAATAAACCTGAAATTTTCCGTCAAAAGGATTTATAGCAATAGTAAAAAGTAATGCTTGTTATTAGCGAGTGACGGTACCCTTATATTTTAGCTCCCCTCCACACAGGATGTACCGCGAGATATAGCCATTGCAGATAACGCTTTTATCAAGCGTTTAAATTTTCATTCTTATAAAACGTATATAAACGATACATCTCGGATCTATGTATAATAATTTACCGCGCGCATATATATATATATATATATATATATATATATATATATATCTGTTGTAATAAAAATAGATAATTTGTCACACCATTGTTGTACACTATAATGTTTGTATAGTGTACAACAAATACGTATAATTAATTAACGCAACGTGGTAATCCGAGAATAATGTACCGAGAGTATAATAATATAAAACGTAGTACATATATATATGTATATTTTACACTGTGCACTGCAGGAAATTGAGAAAATAATCTACTCGCGCATCATTGATACAACACGAATAAATCACCTTTTTATATCTGTTAAATATCTGGCGCATAATTAAGACACACGGCGTCATCCAAGTTACTTCGCGATCCGAGTTATCGTTGTCTATTCGGACGAAGAATTCCTCGAGCGCTTTACTCGATGACGCAGCCGCGATTTGCCTCGTCGCCGGTTTTATTAACATGGAACGATCGTTCCACTCTACCTTAAGTTACTCGTGTCCTTCTGTATTCTGTATTTGCAAACTCTCAAGCATCGCCCGTTCGATCCATCCGCCGTTCCTTGCAGCTTTCGTTTCTTTGCGAGACAAAATAGCGTTCATCTTAATTTAAATTTTAATTAATTTATAAAATTTAAACTCTAATTAATCTCTCTTTGGCGTAACACTATAATTGTAAATAGGACTGAAGCTGAACTTTTCGGCGGGCGAAGAGATAGAATCGTATGATTATGGACTGCATTTGTGCCGAGAGATATACAAATGTAAAAGGAGATTTGCAAAAGAGAAAAAAATATGTATATACTTGCCAAATTCGAGCTGATTATCGAAACGATCGCGTGAGTCGAAGAGATTCGTTGAATCGCGTGCCTGCGCGGTTAAAATGAAAAAAACATTGGTAGATAGAGGTGCGTTGTAAATGACTCTCGGATTCGATATCGTCCATGTATCGAGTGATGTTAACTGTCGTCTCGTTGGAATTCAATTAGCGCGATGTGACACGTGCGAGCGACGCAAGGCGACTCCCGCAGAGACGTTCATGCGAGTCTTCGTCTCGCGTCTTACGTCTCGCGTTGGCTCCGCCGAGCTTCTCCTACGCCTCTTCCACGATCTGACTCACTCATCGAGCCTACGTCCATCTCTCCATTGTCATTTCACCATTCTGCCATTTTCTCTCTCTCTCTCTCTCTCTCTCTCTCTCTCTCTTTCTCTCATTCTCTCATTTCATTTAAAACTATCAGTTTTAATTCATCGTTTCTTTCTCGTCGACGAAAGAAATGGCAAGCCTCACTTTGCACCCTCTCTATCTCTCGTGATCTCATTGAACCTTGAATATGCTGAACGATACTTCAAAACTTTATGGAAAATCGACTTTAATCGGCACACTCTCATTACGTCAATAGCAGATCGATAGAAAAACATAAGTAATCAATAATGATTCGCGTGTTTATTATGTTAATATGCGCCGTTATACATGATACTTGTATCACATAAAATCAAGAGGATTCTCCTACGTAATGTGCACACCTTTACTGGCATGAAAAAAGAAATGGCATGAAAAAAAGATAATACAGACGAACATTAAACATCCAAACAATTCTAAACGATTCTATTTCATATTACAATCGTTTCGAACGAGAATTGTTCGGTCGATTGGATATTTATTAACTTATGTTATTGTACTTCTGGCAAGTAGTTAGCCGAGTCAGTAAAAAAAAGAGAAGAATCGCTTTGATATTTTGTCAATAAAACTTTCAAAAGGTTTTAGATTTCCTTTCCTAATATTATAGTTTCAAAAGTCATTTTGCACTTCTGTGTATACGCGTGATATGTTGTTACTAACAAAAAGTACGTACGTCGTTAAGAACACGGTAATGTCTGCACGGTATATCGAACACAAGTAATTTAAATTTTACGAGTATATGTACAAACAAATTACAGAATAATTAATATATCGATTTTCAAAGTAATTCCCAAGGAACTTTACCACGAATTTTTTCTAACGGTTTGACATAAACGTCGGTCGAGATTTCCGACATTTCTGGCCACTGATCGGCCTTGGCTTGCTCCACTTCCCGATCGACTTCTTTGTAGACTGACGTTCGTACATCCTGGATATATAACAACAAATAGCATTAAAGCTTATTATACAGTTATTATACAGTTATTATTTCGTGTCAGCTATCATCGTAAATTAAAATTTGAATTTCATAACTTTCATCTTTGATTAAAAAAAAAAAAAAAAAAAAGAAAATTTTAAAATGTATGTATAAGTACCATTATTAATAAGGCATCATTATTAATATCATTATAGAGTACAGTTTGAGAATATTTTTCATCTAAATATATAATTATAACTACCTCGGCATCTTTTTCGGTCATAAGGCCTTTCTCCACGATGAGCTTGGTGAACAACATGATTGGGTCTTGCTCAGTTTGTACAGCTTTTATTTCTTCTCTAGTGCGATATGAATAACCGGGATCGCTCATACTGTGTCCGAAATAACGATAAGTTATCATCTCCAGTACAATCGGGCCGTTTCTAAGTGCGTAATCTCTGCTAAAGCGTATGGCTTCTCGTACATCCACGATCTTCATCCCATCGACCTACGATGGGATATATATGTATGTATGTACGTTCCGGATACATTGTATAATATAGCGCGGGCATTGGATAATATAGTGCAGGATATGACATATTCACACACGTAAAATAAACATGTTTAATAAAAGAATAGAGCTGTAGCTGTATTAGAAAGCGATGTACCATATACGTCTGCTGCATATTCACCTTTATTCCTGGTATGAGGTCTCCGCGTGTATAAAGCCGAGTGTTGGCAGAATGTCGATGTACGGCCGTGCCCATGCCATATCTATTATTTTCGCAGATGTAGACCACTGGTAGATTCCAGAGCTTCGCCATGTTCCAAGCCTCATAGATTTGACCCTGCGAGGCTGCACCGTCGCCGTATAATGTAAAGGACACGGCACCTGTGCCATTGTACTTGTGGGCCAAAGCTATACCGGTGCCAATAGGTACCTACATAAACGCAACAAACGTACCTAAGCGCTGATTAATAAGACAATCGTAAGATTTAAGCCTGGATGGCATTTAAGTTGAAAATAATAAGAACGAGAATACGCATTTACCTGTCCGCCAACGATACCGTCGCCACCGTAAAATCGCGGCGCATACATGTGCATCGAGCCGCCCTTTCCCTTAGCTGGGCCTGTCTTACGACCCATGAGTTCTGCAAGAACCGAGCGAATCGGAGCACCGAACACGACAGCGAAACCATGGCATCTGTACGCCGTAATAACAGTGTCCCGTTCAGCCAGAGCCATTTTCAGACCTACAGCTATAGCTTCCTAGGGTATATACAGATTGCAAATATCGCGTTTTCATCCTCCATTTATATACGATCATAGATTTCGCACGACAATTATCGACAATTGCTATCTAGATTCTAATTCTCATCTACCTGACCAACGTATAAGTGTAAAAAGCCATTGATCAGCCGCTGTCTGTACAACTCCGCGGCTCTGTTCTCCATTCGACGTATATAGTTCATTGTCTTTAGTGCATAAGTAGCATCTTCCACGTTTAAAGTCGATTTTTCTAACGGCCCTTTATCGAGCCGATACAGATCGTATTTCTGAGAAAAAGTTTCAACTAGAAAGGTATAGAGAAAGAGAAAGAGGAGGAGGAGGAAGAAAGAAGGTGCAGAGAAAGAAAGTTTGTTATAGATACCGATTCCACGACAGCTTCTTTGGTAACGCTGCGATAATGCGATAACAAGTTGTATCGCATCTTGACACCACAGCGACAAAATAAGAATCCTGATTTTGTCCATATTGAGTACATACTTGAAATATCCGTTATTTATTAACTCAAAGTTATTTATTAAGAAACAACACAATTTTCTCAATGCTTTCCACCACCTTAAATGTCTCCTTAAATCTATCGACATTTATTGTAAATACGTTATCATTTTCTATATAATATCTTACGATATATACCGTACATACTTTTTTTCCCACTTTACCTCTTAGTTCTTTGCTGCATCTATTACTTACTATTTGTAACGCAAATAATAATTTTAGTTTATTTTATATGAATGATCTTATCATATTTGAAAAACTTTTACTTCTCCAAAATAACTGATCTATAATTGTGTGTCGCGCATATATCGCAAATATTAATGATTTGAGATGCGATTCGATCAGTCGCAAAATGACAATCGTATCATAAATAGCTTAACGATATGCGTGCAAACATGTGGACACATCTGCACGCATATCGAAGCATATTCAGGGGGCGTGTTTCTATCTGTAAACGTTTGTATCGAAGCGCAATCGCATCTGCTTTCTTATATAAATCATTTAATTTTAATCATTTTTAATAACTTTATCACAAAATTTGAACAAAAATTTAAGAGAGATATATCTATTATTATATCTTTATGAGCCAATCGCAACAGAAAAAATATAAATTCAAGTTCAAGTGAAGTTGCTCGATATCTGCTTGATGCTGCATATGCGTTTTGATATGACGCGAAATCAATTCGTTCAACATGGCAGACAAAACAGACATCAGTGATCTGAATACTCAGTGATTATTTGATATATTTGATGCGTTTTTGCCGTTAGCTCTTATATGTATAGCTGGATCTGATTGTGTATGAATAAAGTAATAAACCAATCGCAACAAAGACCCCAACGTTTTGCTTATGCGTTTAGCTCGTAGAAAAAATCTTGCAATTTCCATGCGAGAGCCTTGCATTGTCAATAATTTCTCGCGTTAGAAATTAGAAATTTTAACGAAATTAAAGATGGCATACGATGCCGTCTTTATAATATTGAGAATATCCGGAAGAAGCTATAGAGGTGGAACAAGTAAAAGTATGCATTACGAAGATGTGTTACTACTTATCGAACCAACAGTAAGCGTCCCAGTTACCAGCTGCCTGCGCGTGATTAAAGAGTAGAACTACAGACTTTTCTACTTTTTTCTTCTAACAATAAGATAAATATACGGGTTTTATTCACACATACATAAATCCCTTGTTACGAAAATTAAAAGCTTACGATATTCTCTCGAATATTCTCTCGACGTTACAGACACGCCGATTATATTCTATTTAAGACCATTCCAATATCGACAAACGTACAAAGGATATTAACATAATAATTATTATACACTGTTAAATCTATTGTGCCATCAAATTGAACCTTATTTAAGTCGCCATTGTTCCTACTTAATAAATATTTATTTTTAACTAAAACAATATAATTACTTTTAAATAAAACAATAGAATTTAACCCAAATTTTGAACTGTTTTAAATTATTTAACTTTATTGTTTTACTAAAAAATAAATAATTTATTAAGTAGGAGCAGTGGCGACTTAAATAAGGTTCAGTTTAACACTATAGATTTATTACAGTTTATAATTAAATTGAATTCTAGAAGGAGTTAAATGTCAAATTCTTCTGTCGAAGACGGCGATAGCGTTTCGGCAACGCCATCTTCTTCGCATGAAAAGGATTTGGCGGGTTTTGTGTAAACGGACTCGAACGTGTTGCATAAAATTGGGAAACGGAATCTTTCCGAATATCTTGGTGTCTTTTCGAATCAACCAGGAAGGCGATTGCATCTCGCCACCATTGACGCGCATCTTGCTTTCGCGTTTCACGTACTCGCATCGATAGTAACTTTTCATCTCGGACGATATTGTGTCTGCTATGACGAGGACATGGCTGACGCTTATTCGTAGCCCGCAGCATCCAAGCATGCGTAGGCGCTGCTACGCGATCTATTTCGACCTATGCATTCCAAGATATTGGTAAATTAGATCGTAGCTACTCGGAATGAGCCGCAACGTATCTCGACGATCAACGAGATAGTAATTTGTAAATTAGTTGACCGAGTAAAATAATTATGTTCTTATCTCGTACGTATCACCGCGCCTTTTATCATCAGATACCTAACATCAAGTACTTGAGTATATATAATATACATATAACGACATACTTTGGCACGCTTGAAACCCCTGCGACTGATTCGCAACGTCTGACGTGCCGCTGGTGGTATTTCGGCTTTCTGTTTCGGATTTCGTTCTTTGTCGGGGTCACCAAACAGCCCTTTCGATTCTGCCACTTTAATCATGAAAAGCGAATCAAACTGCATCATTTCCTTTCGTTTGATTATCGCGATGAAACAACCTGGATCTAAGACATGTCCGTTCGTCTCGCCATAAATTTCATCGATAGTCCCCACTTCGAATAAATCACTATCGGGGATCTAACGATAATTTTAGTTATAATTAGTATTGGTCAATAAAATTAATAAACGCTAATACACGTTTTTTTTTTTTTTTTTTTTTTTTTTACGCGCATGTTATGAATGATCTTACAACAACGTCAGTCGCATCTAATTTTTCATCTTCCTCCTCCTCCTCCTCCTCCTGTTTGCACAAAAAAACTTGTTGCGTCTGTGATTGGCTCTCCGAATGTTCCCGCGATTGTTCTTGTCTATACGTATCACCTTTGATCATCTTTGAAATCTTTCCACTAGTGTCTTTGGATAGAGTCTTCCTCTTTGGCTGGAAAATAGCAAAGTATAATATGTACATAGGTGCATACATAGATATCACGTTTAGGAAGTGAATATGTGAAAAAAATATGTACATAATATTTAAAGGATATATTTATAGGTACATATAATATTTAAAGAAACTTTTAGTAATCAAGAAACTTTTTCTCACCAAGACACCAACTCAATTAATTATAACAGCGATAAATGATTAACGATATACATATATTTTAAGGTGTAGTTATAACTTTTCAATGTGCGCATGTATAGTTTTCTTGTTTATAAAGTATTTATTTATAACTTGCGATTGATTGTGCAATTACAGTCGGGGAATATGTGTGTTCGATCGATCGTCAAATTTTAAGTTTTAAGATATCTTTTCATGCTGACGATCGACGCTCATTTTTAGCATCAGGATGAAATAGTACCTTTATTGCAGTTAATATAAAATCTCACTCACGGAATGCTCACGAATGTATTTCTCCATAGCTAATTGATTGGCGTATTCGACAACCTGTCGAATCATTTCCGTAGTTTCGGATGGCAAGATCGTATGCACCTCGTATATGAGAAATTGTATATTTGGTCTGGTTAGCGCATACTTGAGCGTAGAAAATTGTTCGGCCAGAAGAGCACGGGGTTGTTTGATCCCACCCGCTGTGTCGCTGGTTAATGATTCCAATAAATTAATGTCACCACCGCGAGCAACAGCAAGATCGACGACGTCCCGGACGCCAGTGTAGCTGCATGGGGGAGTCGCTAGAACGACAGTCGCTCTTTCCAACTCGACGGACGTTGGTGGCGAAATGTATCTAACGATACAGAGAATTCCATAATGTAACATTTCCCAATTATCACATATTATAGTGACAATAGTAATGGCCACTAATCTAAATTTACGAGAAAGAACCGTATTACTTTTCTGAAAAGATTCTGCATTGCTGCAGAGTGACGCCTAAAGTCGTGAGATATGCTTCGTACTCGCAACGACGGTCTCCAGCACCGAAAGCTAATAGTCTCCCGGCATCCTCGATGTCGGCCAAAAGTCCCGCCAAGTAACCCGTGTGGCGAGGAGCGATCGAATGCGTGAGGACTACGGGACCACAAAGACGCGCGACACGTATCGCCTGCGCTAATGTAGTTGCTCCGAGACACAATGATCTTTCCTAAATAAAAATCTCAATTTTTCAATTTTCGGTCTTGAAAGTATCCTCAGCTCTTTATTCTTTATTGGTATATTCGTAATTTTTCGTTTGTCCGATCGCGGACATCGTGATATATTTGTAACGCGTGCACGCGTCCTTAATTCCTTAATTTTTACGTAATCAAATTATTAATTTTAATAATTGTAAGTTGAAAATTGAAAATACAATGCGATATATGCGTATTTACCAGAAAGATGAATCGATGATTGCAAACCAAATCAGACATGGCCAGTTTTTCTCGCACCTTATCATGCAAATTAATCATCTTTGGGCAAATTGGATCAAAGACATAGTTATTTTCGTCAAGCAGCTCCGCTGCTTCGCTATTATCGCAGAGTTCAAGCTTTAGCTTCGACATATCCTTTACGAATTCATTTTTACTTAACACTCTCATGGTGTTGACCCATCCGGAAGCAATCGCGCCTTCGTCGGTCCAACTTATTCCTTCCGCGATACGCAGATGCGTCGGAAGAAGCTCGTCTGGATACACATACATACATTTTATGTTCACACATTCACATGTACATATACATACATATATGTATAAAATATAGAATACTAATATGTAGTTGACACGATCGCAATGTTTTACAAATAGTCTCTATTCAGTGCACTATTCTATTAATTTATAAGAAGCTGCATTTTCATGCAGATTGCAATTAAAAATTAGAAATAATAACCAAGATTAAGCGCTGAACCGCCGATACGAAGACGCGAGATGCTTGCCGCCAAATGTGTCTTTGCTTTCATAAGAGCATCCTCGATGTCTTTTAATCCGGCAGTCTGAAATAAATACAGCACACAATAAATACTATCGTATATATATATATATATATATATATATATAATCGCGTAACGAATCATTTTCTCATATATGTATATTCAAGACTCTTTACCGCGCGTAATCAACACATTCGCACATTTGATATAAATATTAGCATCAAAATTACTATATTTTCATAGTACGATCGCACATGTTGTAACTACATGTTTGAAGCAATTTACAGCGGGTAAGCATATAATAAATTATAGCATAAATAAGATGTCTTTTTTTTACAAATTACAAATCATAAATTGCAAGTTACAGTAACACATTAGTAGACTGCACGTACAATTAAGTGATCACGTCGATCTATTAGATGAGTAAGAATAAGGCAAAGCAAGGAAAATAGAACTAAAGGAATTACAATAAACCTCGAATAACTTCTCTCGAGTCTCGCGTGTGCCCCCATTATGTCGGCGGGCAAATTTTCTTCCCTGCATATCATACAATAACAACCAGACTACCCGTTCCCGTTTTTTCAGAGCACCATTTCGATACCAAAAACCGCCGTCCTCTAGAGTACGATTCAAGATGTTTTTATCTGTAAAATTTGCAAAAGTTAAGAAGATAGACAGCTCTTTTCGCGCGCGGTATACGCGAAGAATGTCTGAAACACGTCATGTTTCTGTACGTCTAACGTACATCTGAGAACGTCGTATACTAAACCAAAGACACGTCTCATCTCGGCCTCGTTGGCGTAATTTGGAGAGGGTCGTGCATTTTGCAGAACTTTGGCCGCCAAGAGGATATCGTTGATACGCCAGCCTGGCTCGACATGAGCCTCCGTCATTGAGCCGCCGGCAGTCCCTGATGCAGGCGTTATAGCGTTCGAGGAACTGACGATATCGCGGTGGCTTTCATCTCTTCTACCTTTCGGAAGATGACCCTTTTCCGTGGGACGCCATTCCCAATCTTGCGAATTCTTGCGATCACTCGTACGCCGTTTAGAATCCTCCATCCTCAAACAAAAGTTGTCGATCTGCGTATATTCTCTATCCCTCTATCAAGTTAGATCTATACATGGTTGTACATGCACATAAATATAGATGTATGTCGCGCGCATCTTTAAACCTATCTCGCGCATATATATATATTTCGATTATGTTCGATTGTATACTCTCGAAAGGCGACTGAAATACATGTCAACTTGACATTCGACGTAATTTATACACATACGCGACAAATTGTAAATAGTTTAATATAATTTGCACGCTAGATCCTCTAGCTTGATATAGTTTAGTAAGTAGTATACTTAAAATTTAAATAGATACGAGCGCACGAAAAAACGTCGCATAAAAACAATAAATTAAACATTATACATTAGTTTTTTTTTATACATATACGCCGCGCATAACATTTCGTATAACGTATCTTACCTTTTATCTTGATCCATTTCAGCGTCCTTTTCTCTTTGTAACTCGACAAGACTGTGATAAACTCGGTGACGCCATTCTTCGTCGCTCGGCAATATTAATTTTTCGAGTTCTCTGTTACGTATTTCGTCGTTAAGAAGACTAAAATTCGGTATCTGCGCCGTAAGAAGAAGTCGAAATATCTTTGCATAGAGCGTGAATATGCTAGTTTTACGAGCCTTGGCCGTATAAACGGCAATTTCGACATTATCATCGAGAGACTTGCCAGACGATGCTGGCTGTGTCACCGTCGGCGTCGAATCCGCCGATGAATCGCTATCGCTAGTCGACTGCATTTTCCTTGATTATACTTATATGTATAATATTGTAGTTTCCGAGAAGCGTCGCGCACCACTCAAGCACAAGGACAAATGTAGAACCTGTAGAACGTAGACGAGCGCTTAAATAGGTATTATTACGCGGCGGACGACGAATACCGCCGCGCGCGATTGCTGCAAAATATATATAGGTACCTACTCTGCTGAATGCGACGGAGGAAGCTTAGTGAAGGAAAGCTTTGAGAGAAGCACAATTACAGTGTGTCAATCAAGAGGAATAATCCAGTCGGAAGTAGCGAAGAACATTGCATCTAACAATTCCAACGGTAAAACATGCGCGGCACGCGAGAACTCGGATCGGGCGATTAATTGCAGCGCGTGGCGCGCCAGCAAGGACAGCAAGCTCGTTCGCGACGCGGACTTTCTCCGCGAAGCCGTAACCGCCCTTGCAATCGTCAGGGGCGAAAAGTCAAGAGAAGACTGAAGATATCAAATCCGAGTCGTCCGTGTCGCGCGACATCGCGTGCTTCGGGAGCGTATTCTACGAAATTGCATCTTAGACTCTTATCAGGACGAAACGACTACTTTTACGCTCTATCACTGTTCGCTCTATCGCGTCCGCGTCGTCTGCCCTGCCACCAACTCTACATCTTTTTTCTTCTTAAATTTGTCCATTCGTTTGCTTACTTTTTAATTTTATCGTTGAATTATCGAAACCGCGATAAAATTGTTAAAATTATACGCTGCGCGGAGATCGAAAAGCGATTATTTGAATTTTAAAAATAATAATGAATTAAATTAAAATGTTAATTACAAGGAGAATAAATTAATTGAAAACTTAAAATCCAAAATTTCCCAAGTATGTGGATACGTTCAATATTTTTCTTTCGCTCCAATTCTTTCTGCAACATACATTGCAATGTATCGTCACACCACTAGAACTGATTCACGAACACGTACACGATACTTATACTTACATATGATTGTGCAAAAAATTAAAAAATGCAACGTGCAAGTATCCAAGACAATACAAGTAATTTAATTCAATCAATCCTGTTAATTTTATTAACACGTTATCAATTTTAATTAAGAAACAGTACTAGAAAAGTACCGCAAACATATAGAATAGTCTTTACGAGATCGATACGAGAGAATATACGCAGAGGAAAAAGAATATCTAAAAGGATATCCGCGCTGGCGCGCGATATGCCATTTTCTATATATATATTTTTATCACGTATTATATAGGCAATATTCAATGATTCCGTATCGAATTACGTCTCGTGCACGAGACTAAATATTCGTTTTCATCAGACGAAAAGAAAGACAATAGACAGCTGTCACGTACGTGCCCGATCGATCATCTTGGAACGACGGCGGCAGGTACGATCATGTTGACACAATTTCAAAGGAGAAAGGAGCGAAATAGTTTATATTCACGTTACATACATTGCATATTATATTTGAATACCTAATTCTTCGGGTAAATTTCAATTTTTTTTCTTTTCTTTTTTTTCATTCAACCTGTTCTTTGCCATCTTTTAATTTTTTCTAAAAAGAAATTTTTCTCCTCTGTTTTGTACGTATATGTAATTAAAGATACGACGATACGACGATAAATTGTGTTGAGATTGATTATAGGACTCTCGTATACTTAAATTTGTAAGTGGAATAGATGAGGAAACACTTGATGTAGTTAACATATACATAATTTATTAATAAACATCGTTAATTCAAAACTGTGCGATAAATATTTAATAAAATATGTTATACTTTATATGAATATAAAAAGGTATACGTTTATACTTAAAGCCTATTATATATTATATATATATATATTATATATATAAATTTTGTGTGTGCACGCGTGCGCGCGTTTTATACCTAGCTGTACATTTTTACGTTTCTTTGTACATTTTCATTTGTCGGATCGAAATAAACACATACAAGATTTACATGATTACTTATTGATTTCGGAAAAAAAAACTTGATAAAATGGTAAAAGGTAGTTAAAAAAAATCTATTTTTATCAATAGCTCTGTAACGGCAGTTTAATAAGGATGGCAAAATCATGTCGCGATTGTTAGAACAATTAGACCATCAACTTTAGTAATATAACATTTGCGCATAAAGCTAATTGTGATTGAATACATAAATTTTATTAATTTATCCCCTTGTATTTCGTAAAAAGATTGTACAACACGCGAAGCGTCGATTTCAAATCCAAATTTACGATATCTGTAAGAGAAACATTTAAAAATATAAAAAATATAGCAAGGGAGATTAGAATGATAGCGCGCGACTAAATCTAGAAATTACAGACATTACCTTCAGGACGAGCTTTCGGTTTTGGTAGTCCAATATCTCGCATAATATCAAATGCAAATGAAACATTGTGAACCTTTTGATCAATGGTCCTTGGTGTCAAATGAAAGCTACCTAATGGAACAAAGAAACCTTCCAAAAGACCAAGCAGCAGAATCAAGAAGACACCATCGTGGAATTGGGTATCCAAATCAGTTAGTTCCAAATGCACTTTGCTCAAATGCTTATTAACAAATGTTACCAATGACTGAAAGGGAAGAGTGATAATAATGTATTATTGAAAATATACGAAAGAAGAAAAATGACGAATACAATCGCAATATATTTAATAAAATAAACTTACTTTCTTTACAACGGCCAATTTGTCGGGTGCGTGATCGAAAAGAGTATCAAATGCGTCACGCTCGCAACGCATACCCAAATCGTCATACGTAGTCGTTAGTTCTTCTCTCACTGTTCTATGTATCAACTGACCATCCTTTTTACGTACTACAACCACTTGAACGGCAACCCTTTCTGGCAATCTAACGGGAGCGCGAAAGAGCCGTGCTAGGCCAACCAGTAGATGCAAAATGGCAACAATATTTTTCGAATGTACAGATTCGACGCTCCACTTGTAAGGTGGATATCGACCCAGCACACGATTAGCAGCAGACAAAACAACAGCGAGTTTTTGCTTCTGTCCTTCCTCAGATTGAGTTACTTCAGGTACATCCAATTTCTCCCCAGTTAGTTTTTCTAGAAAAACAACAACTTTTAGTTGAGCAAAGTTCTTCTATCCGACTTTCATTCTATTACAAAGTCAAAGGAAACTTGAGATTTTTATCCTGTAATCTTCAAATCACATATATGTATGTTTTTATACCTAAAAGTTTCTGCAGCACTTGTCCATCGTAAAGATCTTCTACAATATCTTTCACAATAATTCGCTGATCGGCCAATTCGTCATTGATCCATTCGATCAAGACAAATATCAATTCTTGCAGCTTGGAATCTTCTAAAGATTTTGGCTCTATCATAGAACGTTCTTCATTCTCGTCAAGAGCGTACTCCTCTGGTGGCATGTCGGGATTAGCGGCATATCCAGGTGAATCAATCGCGTATTTCCCTTCTTCCTGAACATCTTTCACTTAAAAATGCAATATTTTTGCTACACAAATCTTTCAAGTTATATTTTATATTCTTCAATATTTAAGATATTTCAAAGATGAGATAATGAAAAATTTATTATCTAAATATACCTAGTCTATGAAAATTAAATCTATAGTGGTACACTACAATTGGCTGACTGAAAGATGAATAGAAACTAAATTTGAAAAGCTTTTCTATTTTCAAACAACTCCTCTCTGTCTCGACATGTCTCTCGCTCCGTATAAGGATATAAGTAAGCTTCATCGGAAAATGACGTAACCAAGTTGCTGCAAATTTCGTATTGTTGTAACATATGAAAGTTGGATGGTACCTTCCTTGATACGTTTCTTCCGTCCGAGCGTCCCAATTTTATCCCAGAAACTTTCTTCCTTGTCCTCTTTCTTCGTGGAAACCGGGATTCGGGGTGACTTGGGCCGAGGAGACGCCATTATTATTTATTGAGAGATTCTATCCTTGTCTTGTTTCTCATACCTCGTACGTATATGTGTGTACTGTATACATGTGCACATAACCTAGCTCGTACTCCATACATATCCGTCTCTTTAGGGAGGATTCACATTAGCGCGGAAAAAGGCAGAAACCAATCAGAAGTGAAGTGCACTTGGCTACTAAAGTACTAGCAAGTGTAACACTCCAACACTCCTCCCTCTCTGGCGTCGGCCAGTGTTTGCTGTCTGCATGAGGATCTAACCTGATCTAACCTATCGACAAAAGTGCGTTCTGTTTTGAATCCTGATATCATTTCAAATCGATTTGAATTCTGAAATCCAAACTAATCCAAATCTCAAACAGATCCTCCAATAATCATACACGAGTTATGAGTTTTTTGTTTGATTTAGTAAAAAACACGTTTCTCGGAATGCTACGATTATTTTGGTTCGGCAAACAGAAGATATCCAACTCTTTAAGCATATATATTAAAACGAATACAGGCAATACTCTTTCCGTCGAGTTAGATCCAAAATCGGATATAAAAAATCTAAAGGAGATCGTTGCACCTCGGATGGGAATAGCACCGGAAGATATTAAAATTATATTTGCAGGTAAAGAGCTGCACAACTCAACTATAATAGAGGTGAGAGGGAGAGAGAGAGAGAGAGAGAGAGCTCGCTTATAAAAATGTTTTTGTGTAACTCGTGTAGTTGCCATATGACTACCATGTACCTATATTTAATGTCGCAGGAGTGTGATTTAGGACAACAGAGCATTTTACATGCAGTACGAACGCCTCATAAAATATCAAATAAAAAGAAGGTGAATGCAAGTCCTATAGAGGAATCTACAGTAGAGACATTCAATTTGAATGACAGTGCAGGTAGCAAGCCTATGAATGAGACACTTGTGGATTTATCCTTGGATGAATCGGATCAACAAAATTTATCCTTAGAAGGTGGCATCTTCTAGATAGTTAATCTAAATGATTAATTCCAAGAGTATAATTAACTAAGAAACAAATGATTAATTTATTATCTTATTATTGTTGACAGAACAGCAGGAAAATCGAGCACATTTTTACGTATATTGTTCAGCTCCCTGTAAAGATGTGACAGCAGGTAAATTAAGGGTCAAATGTGCAAGATGTGGTAGTGGCGCTGTAACTGTTGATAAAGATCCTCAATGCTGGCCAGACGTGTTGAAATCAAGGAGAATAACAGTACATTGTGAAAGTGATTTTTGTCCTGTAACTTCAAGTGTATTTAACGACGAAATGGATCAAGTTTCTTACGCTCGTTTTTATTTTAAATGCGCCAAGCATCCCAGTTTAGGAGAGAATGATGAAGCTGTACCCCTTTATCTTATAAAGCCAAATTTGAAGAATATTCCTTGTCTAGCCTGTACGGATATCAGGTTAGTAGTAAAGGAATGTCTCAAGAGTAAGAGCCCTTTTGGATAATAATTAATAAGTTGATACGTCTAGAGATACTGTACTAGTATTTCCATGCGAGGCTGGTCATGTAACTTGTCTTGACTGCTTTCGCGAATATTGCACAGTCCGTTTACATGAGCGACAATTTGAATTTGATACTACCGAGGGATATTATACATTGTCTTGTCCTGCTGGCTGTTCTAATTCCTTTATCCGTGAAATTCATCATTTCCATCTCCTTGATGTGGAAGAGGTAAATAGTATAACGTATAATATAATATAATATAATATATAATTTTTTCATATTTTCATATTTTTCAAATTAAATTTCTTTGAAATATTTCTTCTTAATTATTAAATTATATTTTTGTGGTAGTATGAAAGATATCAGAGATTTAGTACAGAAGAACATGTTTTACGTGCCGGTGGTCTTTTGTGTCCAAGACCAAACTGTGGAATGGGTATTATACCACCTTCTATAGAAGATGATGCGGAATGTCGTAAAATTCAATGCATCGGCGGATGTGGCGTAAGTGACTGACTTTACACAAAACAAGTTTTTTCACCTACTTTTTGTATTCAGTTATCGAAGATTGTAGCATAAATTGCAAATTCAAACTAAATTACTTAATAACTTACTTAATAATTCTCTCAATATTATATTTTTTAAGTAAATATAAACTAAAATCAAAGTGCGGCGTAATTACAATTAAATGTAATTACAACAAAAAATATACAAATCTTGGAAACAATTTAAATATTTTTCTTATAAAGTGTATATTTTATTAAACTATTAAAATTTTTCTTTAACTATTGAAATACCTAATTTTCAAATTGTCATCATTTTTCTTTTTACTTGATTATCAATCGTGTGACTATTTCTGATTAAGCTAACACACTCTTGTACATAATTCTCTAAATCTGGATTTAATTATCTTTTTTGCAGTATGTTTTTTGCAGAATTTGTTTACAAGGATATCACGTAGGAGAATGTGAATTGCAAACGTCGGAAACGTCCATGAGTGTTTTTTCTTCTAGAAATTATTCAATAGATCTCACAAAAGCTAACGAAGTTAGTTGAATTTAACTAAATTTACATCTATCAAAACAAGGTTCTTCTTTTTTTTAGAAATTAATTAGAATCGCTTGGCCTTTTTTTTTTAGGCTAAATGGGAAGAAGCTAGCAAAAAAACTATACAAATATCTACAAAGCCTTGTCCTAAGTGCAGAACTCCTACTGAAAGAGATGGTACATTCACAGAAGTTGGACTTTTCTCTGACATAAATTTAAATAAAAATAAACTTTATTGGATAGAATTACTTAAAGAATATAACGCGGAGTGTGGTATGACGCGAAACATTGTTCCAAGAGACGCTTAATTTTATCTTGAAAAGATTTTATTTTTTAAGGAATATGTAAAAATATTTTTTATGTTTGTAAATAAATTATTTATTTTGCAGGAGGTTGCATGCATATGGTATGCACAAGAGCAGGGTGTGGCTATCATTGGTGCTGGGTATGTCAAACAGAATGGACTAGAGAATGTATGGGTAATCATTGGTTCGGATAAGGATTTTGGAAGAAAATCACATATCGTGCGATTTGATTTTGATATATATATAATAATCTATAGGATGCATATAAGTATATGAACATTTGTATATGAGAATTTTTTAGTCACTGTATAGTAATAAATATTTTCATATCGTAGTATGAATAGTAAGTTCTTGTAAAGAGTTTTTTTTTTATTGTAGTTGTCAGTGCTACATAGCACCTTTTTAATCACCTTTCTGATCAACAATTACCATGAGATTGCCAATATCTTGACGTGATACATTCGGATATATCGTTTCGATCCACGAGTTACCTCAGAGTATCAAAGCATATCTGCTCATATCCACCACGCAGAATTGCGTTGAGCAAAGACATAACAATTTAATGATTATTACAATTGGTTTCTATACTTGAGAATCTAGCAAGGAATTAAAGGCAAGACCCAATCATATTCGAGAGAATCGTTGAGTTAATTTGAACGCAGTTAAATTAACTCATTTGGCTTTAAACCAACAAAGAAGACAGATATCAGTGCGAGTGCTTGAATGAGTTTACCTCGAACAGATGACGCGTGACGCGCTTAGTGAGAAAAAACCAGTGGGTACACACCTTAAGGCTAAGCTACGCGGCTATTGTGTTTCAAGACGTATTGTGATTGGTTTCGGCATCTTAGGGATCCAGCGAAGATCTAAAGGCGGCGGCGAGGACCAATCATTAAAGAATCACTGAATCATATTAAAGGCTCACTCTGATCTGTTTTCTCTATACTGAACGCAGCGAGATCGCGTTGCGCGCACATACTCTCTTGAATTTATTGGAGTCGTGCTCGTTACCGCTCGTTACGTTACTCTTGCCAACTCTATCGATACGAGTGTGCTGAGTGCCTGAGTGTGCTGGCTGGGTATACAACACGTATGTAGAGGCGAGACCTACGAGAAGGCTGAGAGAGGCTACGACAGAGGAGAAATTGGCGCGCGTGTTGGCGCTCTACGCGCGTCGTCACGAGAGAGGCGCCGCGTAACGTGGAACGAGGGCGACCATGTGACCGGCGGCCGGCCAATCAGCTGTTTAGCTTTGTCGTGCCGCCAAGCTCATTTCCAGTCCGTGTGCACGCGGAAGCTGCAGGGCCGACTGGCTGCGGATAGAGCACGAATATTCCGGACTCGTGGGAATTATGCGCAGCCGATCGCAATAGAGGAGATACTGAATTGCCACGGCTGACGGACCGTGCCGGTCTCGCGACGCGCGATACCTCGCAAATCACCCTCGCGAGTGCTTTTATATGCGAGGTCGCCATTTTGGTGATACGCCGAGCCGACGATTCGAGCGAGCGGAGTGTGTAGCCCTTATGATCTTTTTATCTCCCTTTTTCGCACGGCCCATCCGCGCTATCGTCCTCAGTCGATCGACGGCCCAATAACGTTGGAGATGACACAGCAAAACAAAACGATGAATTTCTTAATACATGACGCTAATGGTAAGTGGATTTTCACGGTGCGCGCCAACGCACAGTTGGAGCACACACGCGTGTGTGTGCTCCAATCCTTCTCTTTGCTCTTGGTACACTTACTTTCTTTCTACCCTCGCGCCGAAGCCTCCGTTCCTTCCTTTGCGAATGCCAAGTAAAATTCGATTGCGGCCGCGGCGCACGGCGTATGGCGTACGCCGCGTACGGCTGATACGGTATACGTCCGCCCCTTCGCTCGCTTTTCTACCGCAATTCTGCTGCGGTCCGCGTAGCCGAAATCGCGTCCGGCTGCGCGAGTTTACGCACTTACTTACGACTTATCTTCCCGACTCCTGAGTTCAGCTTTGTCCGAAACAACGCTGAATCCTAACTTTCCTCCTCTTCAATTTCGCCTTCTTTCCCCGCTTTTTATAGTGCGATTTATTTGTTACCATGTCAGTTGTGTCTCCTTGATATATAAATGGGAGACGTGCGCTCTCATTGTCGGCTGCGGATTGTCATCGGTGGCAAAAGCGTATTCTATCCAGTCAATGGATAGCTGATAGTTTGCACTCGACTGTAATCACGTTTCTCTTTTGCCTGTCATCTCTAATCTTCATCATATTTTATTTTATCAAATATAGTACTGACGAAATTGCTTATGTGAAATAATTTGTTGCTCTTTTAAAAATTATCCATTTTTCACTTTCTCATATACCACCTACTTACAGCTGCATAAATATTGACGACACGACTTTCATCATGTTTCCTGTAACGTTACAAGCATTCATTTCCATTTTTATGCCTAGGATAGACACAAACGCCGGGAACATCTTTACAATATACAGATAAGAAAAACGGAGAATGTTCTAAACGTTTGATAACTTTCGAATACCAAATAGTATTGAACATTGGATATAGGAAAGCATTTTGGAAAAGCATTATCCATTTTTTTCTAAGCTATGACATTTCTAACGTTTACTGTCTTATGATTTGTAAATTTAATTATTTAGTTGAAATATTATTAGATACGCGTGAAAAATTTTGTGTTTTTTGTAGTACATTTTGATTCGTTGGTTACAGTTAAATAATTTCGCGTCCTTCGGTGATACATTTTCTGTAGTATTCAATTAAATAAAAATATATAGCATAAAAAGTCTATGTCAAAGTGCAAGACATAATTTATTCCACTTTTATAACATTTTATAACATATAAGTATAAATTACAATACATAATATATTATAATATGTACAAAATCATTTTTTTATATATGTATACACAGGTGCATTAAAAAATTAATGGACAAAGTATCAATTATATTAAATTTTAGATTTTTTCTTGTAAAAAAAAAAAAGAAATCTGAAATATATTGCATAATATATTGTCTGATATATACATATATTTAACAAGTGATTATAAGTGAATTAAATTCATTGCAGGACATCCACAAGTGATAAAAGTAGTGCAAAGTACACCTAATAAAGCATTAAGTAGTATTGTCAGCACAACAAATGCAGGTGGCCTTAAAGTATTTAAAGCTCCTAATCAAGAATCGCAGGTATTTGGCTTAATTTTATATCTTGGTTATTATAATTATAGTTGTTAGCTTAATAGTAAAGGTTATATATTGTTAACGGTCTTTTAAGAAAGTAAAACTCTATAAATAAGCGATAAATTATATTTATAAATTACTCCTTATATGCAGAATTTATTTCCAATTTATTTTTCTGTAATGCAACAACACTGAAAATTCAAATTTTATAAATATAAACATATATATATATATATCATTTTAATTAAAGGTTTTATCATCGAATACACAAGTTCTTAGGACTATTAATTTGCAGAATCCATCGCCTGGTCAGAGTAAGTATAGCTTTTTTTCTAAATACATTTTTTTCCATGTAATTGCAAGTATAGTATTACCATTTGGAAGTGTCTTTAATTAAAAAATGTAATTTTAGGACTACTAACAATACCTTTGCAAAATACTAAAATGGCAACATCAAAAGGAGGGGAGTCTATGATGACTAAAACCATACAGTTAACCTCTGCACAAATGGTAAATATAATTTTGTAATAAATAAGTAACAATTCAATGTGGAAATTAAATTTTGTATTGAACAACTTTAAAATACAAATACTTTATTTTAGAGCGACATAAAACAAGCTATTGCATCCCAACAACAACAGCAACAACAACAACAACAGCAGCAGCAGCAGCAGCAATCTAATACTTCGCAACTTGTTAAGGATGCTGCTGGGAAAACTTTTATCAGTCCAATATTGGATCACAGTGGATCTAGAAAAAGGCAGGATGTGGAAAGTGGCGACTTTGTGCCTGAGTAATGCCATGATTTTATCACGCGCACGCGAGAGAAGGGGGGAAGAACGAGCAATTATGAATTTAGTTTTTCTACAATCTTGCGATATACTCGTACATCTACAGGGTGTCCAGCGATTCTTGAATGTCCTTGAATCCTGGAATTATTATGGAATTTAATGTGTCCTGGAAAATTCTTGAAAAACCCCTGGAATTGACTTTGAATTTTTGTCATTCTTTTATTCTACAAAAAAATTGAATCATAAAATAAGAAAGAAATAAGAAATATTTTTTTGCGTGTGTCAAGAACTATGTTGATAACATCGGTAACATTGTTTTTGGAAAAGTTTACGGTTGTATAAGCTCTTCTTTAAAGATAAAATAAAGCAACCAATTTGTAAAGCAATAACTAATATTCTTCTAAATTTGTTCGCATTTTAATTGATTCGTTACATAGAATCCTAATTTGAACACAAAATATATAATATTGCGCAAATCAATAAAAATTAAATAATGAAAATTAATCGACCTGGAAAAACCAGGATTTTTACCTGAAATGTCCTGGAATTATCCTTGAATTGGCTAGCCAGATATCGCTGGATCTAACCGGCCGTGATCTAATTACTGAGCTACAAATTTTCATTTATATAACCTCTTATTTCTTTGTATTGTAGTAAACGGAGAAAAGCGGAAAAGGTCGGGAAAGGATTGAGACATTTCTCAATGAAAGTCTGTGAGAAAGTGAAAAAGAAAGGTACTACTTCGTACAATGAAGTAGCGGATGAATTGGTTGGCGAATTTACTAATCCTGCTCATATAAATTCTCTGACAGATCAGGTATTTATTTCTGCACGTTAATTGTAAATTAAAAAAGAAGTTTTGAAATACGCTTAAAAATTTGACCATTAATTAAATTTTCAAGTTATTGAATCTTGTTTACTATCTTTTCAGCAATACGATCAGAAAAATATTAGAAGGCGCGTGTATGACGCTCTAAACGTATTAATGGCAATGAATATTATTTCCAAAGAGAAAAAGGAAATCAGGTGGCTCGGCCTGCCTACAAATTCATTACAGGAATGTGTAGCATTAGAAAAAGATAAGAAGAAAAAGATTGAGAGAATCAAAGCTAAAACTCAGCAATTGCATCAGCTAATCCTGTCTCACATTTCTTTCAAGAACTTGGTTGAACGTAATCGTTCAAACGAGAATGTCCGCGGGCCACCGAAACCTAATTCTGCCATACAGCTGCCATTCCTTATTGTGAATACCAGTAAAAAGACTGTCATAGATTGCAGCATTTCAAATGATAAGTATGTCAAATAGAAATCAAATTATTAGATAATCAGTATATATTATGTATAAATTAAAGGATATATATATTAAGCCAATTTTTTTGTCACAGAACCGAGTACCTGTTTAATTTTAATGATAAGTTTGAAATTCATGACGATATTGAAGTTCTAAAGCAGATGGGTCTAGCTTTTGGTAAAGAATACCGATTCTAATTTTTATACTATAATCATTATTTTTTTATATTTTACTAAAATGTACTATAAACCTGTAAATTAAGATGATAGAATATAAAATATTCTTGTAGGACTAGAAAAAGGGGAATGCACTGAAGAAAATTTACAGAAGGCAAAACTTATGGTTCCGAAATCACTCGAAAAATATGTAGAACGTACGTGTGCTATCTGTTATATAAATATTTATTTAAATTTCAGTTCACTCGTTTAAAAGGATCGATTATTGCAGAGTTAGCGTCAGGGGATTTAGAGAAGTTTATTCCAGTAACTATTCCTGGTCCAAGTACATCGATGGAGGATTTAGATATCAAATTAGAAGGTTCTCGACCACCGTCGTCGTCACATACTTCATTATCGGAAGATCCTCTATCGCCACCATCTCAATACTATTCGGAAGAAGAGGACGACGAGGAAGAAAGCGACCAGGATGATCAGGCTGACAGTGATTTGGAAGTTAACTAGCACCCCGAATAACTCTTCAAAGGCTAGACTCAGGGTTTGTATGTTTACTCTCCCTCTCCTCTCCTCTTCTCTCCCATTCGTTTATTATACTTTTTACATGTGCGTGCGTGCGTGCGTGCATGCGTGCGTGTGTACATACATACACAAACGTTGTGCCTCATATTATATAATATTTAGCCGCAGCAATTACTATTTCAATACATATTGACACACACACACACGCACACACACACACACACACACACACACACACATTACACATTTTAATAATAACGTATTTAAAAACTGTTTAAAATATCAGTCCAAGTACCAGTGTAAAGTTACAGTTTAAAGGGACTTTGCTTCTGAATTTTAGGATACTCGCCACACTCATCAGCGATATGCCAACATTAATAATATCGTCTTCACCCCGGTCGCCAGTTTTTAACATATATCGAACAAGGATAAGAGTTGATAATTACCGTGAGCGGAAATCTGTTGAGGTAAATGGTCAAAAGGGAAATATGTTGATTGGGGCCAAGGAGAAAACGTAGCAGTTAATTGGACTGATTGAATTGGCAAAATTAAGTGGCTCTTTTTTTTTTTCGTATCAAGTAATAAAATAATACGATGCACGCGCATGCGAAAGGAATAATAAGAATAAACAAATGAATGACTGAATGGGGTGCTATATTTTAGTTGTGCATCATCATACAAGTTTATATGACTCTAGCGTCTATGTATTATAAATTATAATCTTACAGTATCATAAAATATTATTATGTGTATGAGATATATTGACCAGTACTCTCATTTTCTTATGGCACGTTTATAATAACAATTGTCTGTGGTAAGCAGTAAAATGACGTATGATAGATGCAGGCGCACATTTGACTCGAATTAAAAATACAAATAAATTGTAATAATGTTATAACATGAAGTTTGTAGTTTGTGGTTAGTCTTTTGAAAGGAAAGGATGTGTATTGAATAACTATACTATATGTAAGAGTTTGCAGTAATTTTTTTACAGCAAACTTAAAAAATGAAACATTTTTCATATCTATTATATGTATAAACATATGATACCTGTAATAGTTACGTTCAACAGAAATAACTTTGAAACTATTGCATAATTTTTTTTTAACTCACATTTTTCTTTCAGCATATTGAAGATGTGCTCTATCAATGTTATGAATAATTGATAGTTACATTATTTTTGATATTTGTGAAGTATCAAAAGTAATAATAGTACAGTGGCATTGATGATACAGCGTTACGCTGAACAAAAAAATAGTAAGCTATACAGCATGAGCGCAAGCATGGAGAAAAAAAGATCATTCACAGATTATTTTATCAATGCTAAATATTATAAAATATATAAAATGCTATTTTCTGTTGAACGCAACTGATGTGACATACGATATCCATTGATTCTGTACCCATGATTTGCATGGATCTACGAGAAATTTTCTGCTTCAATGCTTTAATTGCAATCTGTACAAAAAGCACTGTGTAGTTGAACTTTTTAGGAACGCTGCTTTTACTCCAAGTCATCGTCATCGTAAAGATCATCAAACTCTGAAAAGAAGCAATTTCAATAAACTAACCGTATATTCTGTTAATTTGGATTATTTACACCAAAAAAATATGTTCTTGATCTATGAAATATGTAGAAAAATACTTATTAAAGAATTAAATAATATTTAATATATATTATTGAAATCTTCTATTTAGACTGTATATTATGGAAAATATGGTTTGGATTTTCAGAACAATATCCTTAATTTTTTCTGAACTTGGAAGGGGATTTTATATATATATATATATATATATAAATTTATTATAAATAATTCAATAATTGATATACCATTGAAAAATTCTGAATGAACAGCTTTCTCACTAGCTGTAAGATCCACTAGTAACCTACTACCTCCAACCTGAAATTAATATCACTTGAAAACATTATCAGGAGATTACAATCCAAAGAAATTACACTACAGATGTACACAGTAATATATGTTGACTGGAGCTTTCCAGCAAGAGATAAAACGAAAATAGAGAGGTTCATTCTGTCGATTCGATATGATATGAGAGACATCAATAGCGATCAATGTATATTCTAACCTTATCAGAGCTGTATACATGATATTACCTCTTCTAATTCAACGTAAGGTCCAGCTCCTTCGGGAAACATTTCATCAGCTACAAGAGTTGGTTTCATATTGAGGTCGTTTTACCTAATATGTGCTTGATTATTTGTTACGATGAGAGAATTATATTAAGCTTCGTGTGTAGTGACAGAAATGTATGATATGCAACGATTTAACTGTGAGAGGTATACACACATACCAATATATACATTTGCGCATACGCCATACGGCACTACACACATACTGACATACATACTATATACATATATCACACACTGACTGCGCTGTTATCATATGCATATGTATATGAATAATACGACACATGTGACGAAATACCGATGCAAGGTACATACCGATTTGTCGTGTATATGCAGGAATCAAACTAAAATAATAATTTTCGTTTCTATTTTCTATCACATTGAACATATTACGCAATTTCAATTTTCAATGCGTAACTTGAATTTGCTTTACTTACACTTGAAAAGTGATTGAAATAATTTTTTTTTCCGATATGTGCGATGATAATTTTAAAATTCAGTCGGTATAAGAAGAATATTTCTACGTTATCTTCAAAGGATTTTTCTTTCAATTTGAAATAGTTTATACATATATAATTTTATACATATTATGTCTTTTAGTGTGATTACACACACACACACACACACACACACACACACACACACACACACACACACACAGCGTGTATCTTAAATAACGCTCAGTAATATTAACGTTATTCTTCGTAAAAAACCGAGTTGAAAAGTCCTGAATCATTTTTTTCCTACAATTAATATACAATTAAACAATCACTGTAATAATACAGCTTTATTGAGCATTGTATAAAAAAATGGTTCAGGACTTTTGATTTAATTTTCTATAAGAAAGAGCGCTATATGATTAGTAAGCGCGCGCTATTTAAGAATTAATAATTTTGTTCTGCAATGCTAAGTTGATCGAAGCAGTGCAATCATGATTGCAGTGATCCCGCGTCATTGAGCATCGTAGAAATAAAAAGTTAGACTTCGACTCAATTTTTTTTCCAAGAAATAACGCTATATAATTAATGGGCGCTATTTAAGATACATCCAGTATATATATCATTTTGATATTTGATCAAAAATTTTAATTTTCTCAATTTGAAATTTATTATAAGCTTGACATTTTAAAGGAATTTTTGATGTTATCATTGAAATTCTTCCAATTTATACTATTTCTTCGAATCGCAAAATTTATCGCAAATTTTTAATATCGATATATTAAATGTTATCTTTTTAAGCTTTAATTTATTATTAAATTATATTATCCAATGTTAATGCGTCCACTTTATCTGTCATTAAAAAATAAAAAATTTTCGCTACAATATGTATGTACAATATCGCGAATCGTATTTGGTAGATGCAATAATAGAATTTAGCATAATAAACCTCACGCATACGTATACGTGTGTAGCCCTCAATTCCGTCACTACACCAAAACTTTCTAATAAAGGTCAAATCACGCTAGCGATTACCGATTAAGTTGCAATTGTGCGATTAAAATAAAACATTTTCTAAATGACAATCCCGTAATTTCAATCGGTGACTGCTTTATTTCGATTGATTGAAAAATAATCGCTAATTAATCATCAATCACAATCGCAATCCAATCGACAGCCGTTAGTGTGATTTGACTTTGATGCTTATTCTTTTCCTCGCCGATCCAAACCAAATGATTGACGCAGATGTATGTATACTTTTGCGACACGATATTTTTTAGTAGAGATTAACGACAAATTGAATCGATCTAACCAGCTATACATTTTGCGCTGTTTCTTACAAGTTATGACGGGGACTTGCGTTCTCTAGCTTCCATAGGTATTATATAGTAATTAAAATCAGTGATCGCAAAAATTACAAAAACTATGTGAGTTAATTTGGTCGTACGCGACGTTAAATGGAAACGTGTTTCCGCTATCGCCGCGGATCGCTAACTCTCCTATATGGGGCGCGTTCAGATTTTCGCTCAAGTACCGTCCAGATATCGTTTTATCCTTGTCGTTCACCGAATCTTAAACAAGACTAACATGATATATCTACTAGTGAGGAGCACTCGGATGAAAATCTGAATCTATAATTTATGTACCCGTGATATATCCAATATGAATGACGATTCGAATTAGCCGTAGCACGCGCGCAGAAAAATGCGCGCGGTGACAATTTTCAATATATATTCATTTTTATAAAACGCTAATTTTAATAAGAATTAACAAAGTAATTTTTTTAAGTAAGTTTTCGAAATTAAATTGTATGTAACATATGTACATACATACTATATATACGCATATATACTGGCAGTTTCCCGTATACCTCGCGATTGTTTTTAATTCATTCAGTTGAATCAAGTCATTCAGTCAAATTTCTCGTATTAGATCCTGTTGCCAAATTTGACAAAATTTCAAATAACCGCAGCGTAATTTTGACATCATTAATGTACGACATTTAAAAAGATCAAATATCATTCTATGCTTTTTGCAGATCTCTAGAAACGGTGGTCAATTTGCGTCATCATCTCGTAAATAGAGATCACTCAATGATCGCGCATCAGCAAAAAGCGATTAATTGAGTATTCGCGACGATTTGAGAATATAAAGCAGATCAGCGACACTTCGATACTTGTATATGATAGAATAAAATAGGAGCAAGAGGGCAAGCAGGCGAAAACGGAGGAGGACAGGGGGCAAGAATACTTGGTGCGCGGTGCTTGATGCGCGCCGCGATGCGCGAGGTGCGCGCGCAGTCGATCGGTCAAAATTCACCCTTGGCTCGTACCGCTTGCCGCCGCGAAAGCGATACCGCGCGAGTCCAAGAGGTATTAGTTTACTGGTGCGTGCCGTCCGTGCTCTCGGCTTGAATCAATCGTGCCCGAGGCGAGAGTCAAGAGACGAGAGATTGTCGTGCCGATTTTGTCGTCGCTTTCGCTCCGTTTCGCGGGTGCTCTCGTTGCCCTACTTGCCCTCCTTCGGATTAATCTTCGCGGAGCACGACTGTACACCCGGGTCGAGTAACTTCCTCAGCGACTGAGCCGACTGCCACAGCAGCGGATTATTTTTCCGCGCGTATCATGTGGCTCACCTTGGTTTTTTAGCATCGGTTCCAAGAGAGAGAGAGAGAGAGAGAGAGAGAGAGAACGAGCATTGGTGAGTGCAGTGCAGCGTCGCCGCGGCCGCGGCGCGGCAACGCGCCGCTTATCAATCGTAGCGTTTCGGGATAGAAATACACCAATGTGTATAACGGGAAGCGGGCCTAGGCCGCCTAGGAGCCGCGCCAATGTACCGCGCACGCTATGAAGTACACGACCGCGTACGCGTATACGGAACACCTTCCTCTGCGCTGACTGCGCTGCGGATCAATAACAGCCTCCCCGTTGCGGTTATGATAACACAAGACCAGCTGATCACCACCAATATTACACGTTATATTTACATTCTTTACATGTTCGCCGCGATACTCTTCGCTTTCGCTTCGCTCTTTGGATACGCGCGGTATAAGCGCAATGTTATCCGTGAATATATAACATTGCATTACTTGACGCACGAGTAAGCGCTATAGGGCAATTGTTTTTCGTTCGAAAATTCTACAATATACTTATTAATCAAAGTTAAAAATATCAGATTGAAAGTATTTTCAAAGCAATTACTTAAGCAATTTTATTGCATTATATGTATATTATACTAATTATACAGCACTCTTATGATTTGCAACAGATTCCATTTCATATTGATGTTCATTTGCTCGATATAAATACAAACACGCATTTTTATGTCTCACAAAGAACATATATACATATACATATATTTGTTCGTTTTTTTTTTATGTGATCATAGCTTAATATCTTTAGATATATTATTCATAACTAGAAAATCAATGTGTGAGAAAAGATAAATAATTGATCTATTTAAAAGAATAAGAATACACTCTTTATATATTTTGATACAGAAAATACGCATAAAGAATATGTATATTTTCCTTATGTCATTTTGGATAGAAATGTCAAGTAACGTAATACTTTGAAGATATTAGCATTGCAGTTAATATTATATCACTCGTTTATTTCATATTGTTAATTATATATATTTTCGATCTGCGATAGAAAAGATTAAATTGGCCAATTGTTCACTAAATTTAATATTTTGTGTATCAGTCAGTATTATTTGATTTATTTATCAGAATGATAAATCGACCGCAATTGTGTATGTGAAACACATACAAAAGTTATTTAAACGAGAGAAATCGTATTCCTATATACGCGATATTATATATTATCTACATTCTATATTACATCGTAAATGTACTAATGAATGAATCAAATGTGGACCTTATTAGGTAGATTCCTATTATAGCTGCGTGCAATTTGCATTCCGATGTTTTACGCATGTACATACACACATACATGCGTGCGGGCGTTACTTATGTTGTATTCAATACGGGAAGTTATTCAAAGGCATTTTTTGAGCGGTTTTTGTATCTTGTCGCACAAGTTAGCGCAAAGTCCACGTCTCAGTGGATTCTATCAGTGTAATATCTCGCATTCCTATTCCCACATGTATTTATAAGAGTCTATCGTAAGCGTAAATATATTGGATCCATTTCAACTTGATGATTTTCAAAGTTGGAGATTAATGCACCAACATGTTCGTATCGCATCTTTTAATTCCCTGCAACATGTTTATTTTTTGATATACGTCAATTTTTATATCAACTTTTTTTTCTGGCTGCATACTTGCATTGGAGATTATTAAATGTGCAACCGCCGTTCTCGGAAAAGATCTTTCTCCCTGAAGAATGTTCCTGCACAGTAGACCTCCGTTTATCCAATCAATCCTGTCAAAGATCAAGACAGTCCCGATAATCGAAAATTCAGATAATAGAGGCTCACTTATTAGTTTCGATAATAAGAGCTGACGTTCACACAGAAAGCTCAAGTCGAGCACACGTCGAGTTCTTATTATATTCTATTCCGAATAGTTCAGATAATAAGAGTTTGTTTGAAACTATAAGTACAAATTTGTTTGTAATAAATGGGTACGAAACGAAGTTTTATCGTAAGTACTTTGAATTTAAGTAGCGTAACAATTTATGATGAATTTGCTTTTTTTTAATCAGATGAATCCAAATGGCGCGATACGACGCGGAAAAATGCTGCATCGGAAAGTTTAACATTTCTAAGCAATATATCTAACAATAAATAATAATGAAGCAAAGTACACGTGAATGCGTGATCAAGTCAAGTAATTTTGACGTATGCAGCGTCATCATAACACTCCTTTATTATAATCTAAATACTGCGCTTAACGTAAATGTTAATTAATCGATGTAGGGTTTTAATTTTTCATTGCTTGTGAACGCTGTTTATCCACATCTTTGCCCGTGAAATTTTCCTTATGTAAAAATGCTTACGGATATACCATGAGAATAAACATCTACGATCTGGTTTGTTTGCCATCAGTAACCTAAACACTTTAATTGCACTTCTATAAAATTATCTTAATGACAAAACTATTAGACTTGCGTCGATGTACCGGTGGAAAATCACAAGACTCGATGAATAAATACGATTCTGTCGTTAAAAATTAGTTAAATAGCTTGGCCGACATTTGAGGAAAGATACGCTTGTCTTATATGCCCGCGATAATTATTCTGTTTGTTTCTTTTGTCTCGCCAAATGTTTTACGTAGAAATTCATATGTCCTTTGGAAGTTTCCCAGGTTTATGCAGGATAATTGAAGAATTTCTGATTGTACGATTTAAATGAGTGGAATGTCAGTATCATGTACAATAATTAACTCGCCTTTCAATTACACGGGATTTTCCCGATACGTGAGATCGATGCTTTTCGTCATTCGATGAATTGTGACAAGTGTATATTGTATATAATCTATATCGATGCATATATATATATATATATATATATAATGTGCCAGTGTTCTTTTTATCATTATACATAATGAATTAAGGAACAAATGATTTGCACGTCGCTATATCGTCATTTTCTGAGTACGTACAAGGCACGTACAAAGATAAGATATATCGAATGCTATTACGCTTATCTTTAGCTAGTTCTAAGCTTTGAATCTGCTTTTATCATTTTCTCCGAAGATGCAATTTTGTAGTACGAAACTCTTTTACGATATGACTCCGATATCATATAAGAAAATATCTCTCACTGTGTAAGATTATGGCAGATAAAAATAACAATAAAGATAACTTACTCCATACGCGTAAACGTTATTTGAACAATAATCCATTGTTATGTAATGCGAATAGAAAAGGAAAGGAATCTTAGTTTACGTGTTAAATAGTGGCAAAAGCTTGAGTAATATGTCGTACGTATTATTACAATTTAAAACATAGAGTATATGTATAAGCGGTATATGTATAAGCAAAAGAAGAAAATTGTTTCTTATCTGCACAACTCTACGACTTGTGTGATAAGCTTTTGATACATGGAAACTGTGTAGTTTTTCGCCACGTTGTTAGATTGGAAAGCGTTTTAAAGATCGTGCATCTTTCGTGTTCGTTTTTGTTTGTTATATATGTAAATTATCATTGGATTTGTATGACGAATAACGAGCACTGGTAGTCAACCTTTTATAGCTATACATTGTAAAAGAAGACTGCGAGAAGTCCCTTTGTGTGACACTAGACGCTTGTAGCTTTCTGTTCAATTGCCTTACTTTCCATTTGTTCAGCTTTCTCAAGTATTATTTTATGCGACTCGTTATGATTTTAATGCAAAATTTTATTAATCGATAAAAACTAATCGATAGATCAGTGAAGGATATTTAATTAACCATCAATCGACGAAACGTGTTTTTTCAATAATTGTCATGTAAAGTAACATTATGCGGAGTAAACCCTTACTGCGTGGCGGTACAGTGTGTGTGAGTGTGTGCGTGCGTGTGCGTGTGTGTGTGCGTGCGCGCACACAAAAGATCGGCATACATCGTGACGTCACGACGAAATGCGCTCAAAGCCAATGGTCATATGTATCAGCGAGAGCGAGTACCAGCTATCAGTATTAGCCCGGTCATCTTTCTGTACGCGACACGCGCGATGCCGATTGCGCGCGGCAAGACGAGCGGCAAGGCGATCTCTTCGCAGCCGAGAAACACTTTGATATCTGTGCGCGAAGAAGTTTGCATTGAAGCGCAGCCCGAGATGAAAAACATTGTTTCGCGAACGCGATGACGGAACACTGATTCACATCCATGATCCATTGTCGACGAACGTTTTTCTCGACCATCGCTAATCGCGCCGATTTTTAGCATCGACTAAAAAAAAAGACTAAAGAATATCGACGCGCTTAATCGCGCATTCGTTCGCGTTTGTTCTTTTGCATTTGCTCGTGGGTGATTGGATTGCTGTCGGCGATCGAGACAACGCGTACGTTCTTTCTCTCTCTCTCTCTCTCTCTCTCTCTCTCTCTCTCTCTCTCTCTCTCTCTCTCTCTCTCTCTCTCTTTCTCTCTCTTTCTCTAGCAATGAGATTTCGCGGGACCTGGAGATTTTGCCGTCTCGCAAACGCGGGTGTTCGACCTCGTGCAAAGGCCAAGCGGTAGCGCGCGAGCGAGTCGCGCGACCTCTCAATATTAGTTCGATGTTAGAGAGTCAATGTTTCTTACGCTTTTGGACTGATCGTGGATATTTCGACGTGCCGCTTCGTTAAACGAGAATGGAACAGCTTGGATGACACAAAATAACTGGTTGTACACCATTCATCATGGTTCGTTATTCTCTATTTATCAGTTTATTTTGTACTTTTGTCATCGAATATAACATTAAAGTGTTACAGATACTTATGATATAGCAACGTGTATGTAAGTCCGCGTGGCACTAAAGTTGATACGAAAATTGATCTTATAATTCCGAATCGAAGAGAAGAATCGAGCAAGAAATATGTAAATAGCTGAGTTTCTGCAGTAACATCAAAGGTCATCGAATATAAGTATGAAAAATTCGTCGACAGTTGCTGTTAAAATTTTTAAATATTTCACGCGTTATAACTGTTACTGCATATAGAATACGACTTTGAATCCTTTGAATTTGTAAGTCGACAAATCGTTGGTCGCATCGTAGTTAATACCGCCATCGTTCGCGCGCGATTGGAATTCTACGTTCCTATTCATTCTCACCATAAAGACATCTTAGTCTCCAAATTGTGTCTGAGACTATAATATTTAACTAATGTGGCGTTAAAGCGAATACATACACAGAGAGAATTTTTTTTTAAATTTACCCTGCAAATCATGTTAATTATGGGACAATATAGTATTTAGGCAAATTTTACTGTGCACTACAATAAGATTTCGCAGTAAAATTTATTGTAGTGCACAGTAAAATTTACCTAAATACTATATTGTCTCACAATTAACATGATTTTCAGGGTAAATTTTAAAAGAAAATTCTCTCCGTGTATAAATTAATTTTACGTTGTGTTAATTAATATACATGTGTGTGTAAAAGATATGCGCGTTTGTCTTCAACGAGTATGATAAACGGTAACGGTGTCTGAGATAATGTAGCATGAAGATGTGATAGTATTTATAAGCTGTACACCGCGTGCGTCAATTTTTCAACATTTCATGAAAAATACATTATAAACGTTCACGAAAACACAATTAATTAAAAACACAGTTAATTAAAAAAAAATTTTTAACTGTCACATTACTGCATTTCATATTGTTTAATCGAATTTCAAAATTTTTTGGTTCGATATTCTTCACTCATTACAGACAGCACGTTATGCTATTTCTTTTTATGCGTGCATATTTACATCGCTGCGTTGAACTATATTCTTCCAAATTACCTTGTCAAACGGGTTTCATTAAACTTGTTTTTTTGTCGTTGCACTGGACCGTACTAAAACTTTCTATCTCGCTTTAGCCAAATTCCCAATATGCATATATCTATTTCATTTTAGGTACACTAGTTAAGCGTACATTTCAAAGAACCGATTTATTGCAATTGTATTGTACATGTAAAAAATTAAATTATGTGAGAACAAACTTTGGGATATCTAAGATGAGATGTTATAAAATAACCTCGTGCACGTTACATCATTTTCCTGAAGAAAACGATGTAGATGCGCATAAAGAGTATCTATACCACTTACTAATGCTTAATGAGTACGCGTTTTTCAATGTTCCGCGTGAATGAGCGCGCACATTATCACGACACCAAGTTCGTTGATCATTCGTTCTCTTTTAACGTCGATAACAATTACAATTACGAACATCCACTTTCTCAATCGAACATTATTTCATTAGAGAAGCCATATTTTTAATCCGTTCCCGTGCAACTAATGGACACGTGCTTCAATGACAAATTATATTAATCATTTCTTTTTATCAATGACAAATCGTTCAATTAATGTTTCATAAGTCTTTGTTACATCTGATATGTTTGCAATGTACGACGTGCATCCTATTCGTCAGTCTATTCTCGCACGTATATACTGAATTCAACTCTTGAGATTATTTGCGATTTACGAGTACTACGCCCGCGCCGCGCCGTTTCGATTAAATTACAGTAATGTAATATTATAACTGTGTGTGAGGAAAACAATTTGCAGTAGATTAAACGCGCGTAACTATAATACGCGCACATCGTGAATCGTATATGACAACGAAATCGATAGAATCACGACAACGCCCTAACATTAATCGATATATAAACGTGCTACGTTGAATTTGGACTGTGAACGTACCCTGGTTTATTCGTCCATGGGCACAAAGCCAAAATTGCGCAAAATTTTCTCGGCCAAAGGCGCCTATTTCTTCGTCTATATGATTGACGAGAAAGGACAGAACGAGAGTAAACGAGTTTTAAATTATTTCTTGGAGATTTTTCGATTTCTTTTCATTTTACTGCTAGATGTGATCGTATTTTTCTGTTCACATTTGTTCCGAATTCTTTTCAATTTCGCTGAACTTTTAACAAGTTAAGTTTGAAACGTTTCATCAAGATTTCTAAGATTAATGTAATTAATTCTTACGAATAAAATGTGATTTTAATTTGTAAAAAAATGTAAACTTTGCTCTTTAGTTGACCTCATGGTGTGTTATTCTTATGGCTTGCAAAAATACGAGCTACTTCTTTTTATTATTAGAATTTTTTTAAGTAAAAGAAATAGTCTATATGTAATGTGTGTGTATAGATATATTTAACATATATGTATATAGACTTTATTGTATATATACATATACATATAAAACATATATATAGACTATTATTATATATAGATATTTAAAAAAAATATATATATATATATACATAATAGTAAGCGATCTAATTAGATATCACAGAAATAAGATATACGTCGTCTTACGCCTAGTCCGTTTGATAAGTTATATCGCGCGATTGTAGTATATAGTACGAAATCGGACTCTAATTTTATCAAATTTCTTCTAATCCGGCCGATGCGAAAACAGCTGCCTTTTCTTCTAACTGATTATCTTACATTTTCATTAAAACTGTAATTATTTTACCTCCATATTTGACAATAATTATCGGAATGCATCGTCTTTTACACTTGTAGGTATATGTGTTAAAATGTAGCTTAGCTTTTGGTAGTTTTACTCATTTTTCACGCGTCTATTGTGAATTTCTACCGTGAATATATTTCAGGTATTTACGCGCAGTGTGCAGCATTCGTGTTCGCGTGCTAAAATTCCACGCAAAAAGTTAAATGGTCGTCTTCCTCTTGTGAGTTAAGTAAGTCGGCAAGATCTAGGTCAACGTTAAACGAAGTAATCTACGATTACTTTTGAACAAATGCAGAAGAAGTTGTAATACACACACACACATGCGCGCGTGTGAGAAATGTAATGTACGTATTTATATTATTTATCATCACATTGAGGAAATGATAAAGTATTAGAAAAGACTATCTTCCATCATGTGCATCCAAAGATTAAAGAAGTTCTTTTTTGAAGAATTACGGTGACAAGCCATATGCAGGCCGTCGCGGAGTGCGTATCATATCAAATCGACTGACCCTTTAATACATCTACACGCACTTGAAATTTTTGCTTATACTAGCAACTACAATCTTTGAGAACTTTGAAAAGAAATTGCAATCGTGGTGTGAGGAAGTTGGAAGGTATAACTATATAAAAGAAGAAGGAAAAAAGATCGTATGATACACGCGTGATCATCGTGGCCACCGTTAAATCCTTAAATTGATAGCAACTCATACACAATGAGCTTCATTTATAATCGCTGACTCTAACTCGAGCTACTTCGACCGGTTACGAAATGCCAGAAGCGAGTCACACTGTCGAGTATCTTTGCCAAACATCGAACTTGGAACGTCTAATAATGCTCGAGAATGTTGCTTTAGCGAGTAAATATAGCCGAGCAAGACATTTTTTTCGCGACTGCGTGCGTCATTTTGATCACGTTATTACCGCACGTTTAGATAGTGATATATCATTTGATTTGATTTAAACGCGATAAATAGAACGAAAAAAATTAGTACCTTGGCGATAGTTTGTATTTTCAGAAGAAAACACGGCGTGCTCTCTGATACAAATATATCTATTACAGAAACGTGGCTGTCGCAAAGACAGATAGGAGGAGCGCTGCTTATCCTTTTTTGTGATTTAATCGTGATTTATTATTCAAAATTTAGTCGCGTATTTATGTATTCCTTTTTATTACATCCTTTCCTTTATCTACTTATCTGTCCGACTTTTTTTTTTAAATTTCGACGCATATATATATATATATATATATATATATATATATATGTACGTATAATACGTATGTACATATACATCGCTACGAGCTATATAGCTGACTCTTTTTGTCGTAGAATACAACGCGAGAACCGAAACAGTACGTTTCGCCGCATGGGTGCCTGGGTTGACGAACGTTTCGCGGAGGAGGAGGTGGTCCCAAGTAATCAAAGTGCTACTTGGACTTGGAGAATCTGGGGCCGCAATTGCAATGGTGGTGGACCATTGCATGGTCGACCGGGTGCCGACTATCAATCGCCAGACAACTTTACATCGACCTGGTCGTCAGCATCCCTATTACCGTTGCGCCGTCAGTTCACTAGGCAGCTCTACGAGTGGCCTTGTTTACCGTTGTTTAAGTCAAGGACGAAATTAGACCTTTATTAAATCGATCGTTCCGATTTGCGGAGGAGAAGGGCCGCCCAAATTTCCTTGCAAATATACAGATTGCTCGAAAATTTTTGTTACCGCGTGTGATTGTTCGTATGTGTGCGTCTATGTGCGTCTATGCGTATCGTACGGGATCAGTTTCCACATCACGAAGAGGAGGGAAATTGGATCGCAAGTATTTTGATATCTCGAAAGAAAAGTGAAGTACCACCTTTATATTCTTCATTTCTTCAATATGGCCGAGTGGACCAAGTTTAGCGATGGAGACAAGCAGATTCGACTCGACGAACGAACGACGAATGATACGACCGTGAGGCGATTATCGTACATCGAAACGAGTGACGATGAAATTATCAACGAAGGAAATTTACGTATGGCAAACGATCCAAACAATTGCGTTGATTGCGATGATAACTGTGAAGAGGCGATTATGGATTCGTGTTCGGTTCGGGGATCGGAGTACGTCAACGGCTTCCGAAACAACTCAGACTCATTGGAAGATGCAGACGGAGACAAGCGAAAGGAAGAAGAAGTAAGATTTGTAGAGAACGATCCGGAACGAACAGAGCAATCGGGCTCGAGGATACGGTGGGAAGCTCATCAAGAGCTAAAAGAAGCTTCGCAAAATTTACAAAGTTCACCAAAGAGACCCAATAGCCTCTACAAAGAGGATGCAGCATCTAGTCCACAGAAACTCAAGAGCGTTTTCAATGAGAGGGGTACAATTTTTAACAGGTCTCCTACCAGCAGGATTCTTTCGTCATCCAAGAGTCACTCGTCGACCGAAAAGAGTACCGAGAAACTCGTGAACGGTAAATCTCCAAAGGAAGACAAGCAGCAGCACCATGTGCAATTCAACAAAGATTCTCAAAAGCAGCAGCTACGTCACACACCTGAGGAAAGACCGCATCCAAGTCCATCAATTTCTACGTCTACCACAAGCAGTTCCGAGGACAATTCCAGCTTGGGACAGTTTTGTGAAGCTAGACCTCCCGACGGAGGTTGGGGCTGGGTCGTCGTGGCGGCCTCCTTTATGGTAAATTTGATCGCGGATGGCATTACCTTCTCCTTTGGCGTAATATACGTTGAATTTCTCAATTATTTCGGCGAGGGCAAGTCCAAGACAGCATGGATCGGCAGTCTCTTTATGGCGATGCCATTATTGTCGGGACCGGTGGCAAGTTTTTTAACCGACCGGTACGGATGTAGAAAAGTGTCGGTGGCCGGGAGTATTCTGGCGACAGCTGGTTTCGTCATAAGTTCCTATGCAAACTCTATGGAAGTACTCATCTTCACATTCGGCATCGTAGCAGGTTTCGGCTTGTCCTTGTGTTTTGTCGCAGCGGTGGTAATTGTGGCGTACTATTTTGATAAAAAGAGATCTTTTGCTACCGGTCTATCGGTATGCGGTAGCGGAATCGGGACTTTTATCTTCGCGCCTGTCACGCAGAATCTTTTGGCAGAGTACGGCTGGAGAGGAACTACGCTGATTCTGGCAGGATTGTTTTCCAATCTCGCTGTATGTGGATGTCTGATGCGGGACCTCGAATGGACTACCACCAGAGCAAAAGCGAAAACTCAAGAGAGGAAAAAGAATCGAGAAAAGAAGAGATCTAAAATGCAGAGTTCCAGTGCAGATTCCTTTTCCGCTACCAGCTCCGCAAACACGACTACGCAAACGCCTCACGGTGATTCTAAAAGAGGTTTTGCATCGGCTAACGCGATGATTATTGAGAATCTTCGGCCGCAGGATGGATGCGACGAGGAGAGTGGTGAGAAGTTATTCTCTAGCTTGGTGAATCTGCCTACCTTCGTCAAGAACGGGGAAAGAGTACCTCTTGAGGTGCTGGAATTGCTCAGTACGAACAAGACCGTTTACAATGTCCTTCTACAAAACTATCCGAGTCTTTTGATCTCGTCGAGGAGTTTTAGCGATTCCGGGGCATTACACGATCAGTTGAGTACACCCTCGGCTCGATTTATATCTACGCCGAGCCCATTAGCTGAATTGCGAGCTGAAGGTAAGGACAAGGGAAATGATAATCGAATTTTGCGCGGCGATCAGCAGCACCAGCAGAATCAGCAGCAGCAGCAGCAGCAGCAGCAGCAGCAGCAGCAGCAACAGCAGCAACATCAATCGGTAGAACCGGCATATTTATGGTGGCTGAAGAAAATCGATTCCGACACTCCATTAAGACGATCTAGCACATTGGAACAACCGAGGAGGCTGCCGACTGCTTATTTAAAAGATATCAGAATGCATAGGCATAGTCTGACTTACAGAGGCGCCATGCTCAATATCAATCGATATCGTTTGAGAGCTTCGAGTTGCCCGGACATTTACAGAAATTCAATGACTACAATTGCCAAGACGAAGCTCGTCTGGTACGCTGGACTCTGGGAATTTTGGGATTTGATTGTTGATATGCTGGACTTTTCGTACTTTGCCGATCCAAGGTTCCTGCTGTTTGCCGTCAGCAACTTTCTCCTGCACACGTGGTACGATGTGCCTTACGTCTATCTGACGGACAATGCAATCGAAGTTGGATTTAGCGAAACGGATGCGTCTATTCTGATCTCGGTGATCGGGATCGCTAACATGGGCGGCGAGGTAAGTGTGTATGTATGTATATATATATATACACACACTTATATATAGCGGCATCAGAAAGGCTAAGTTTAGCTAACAATAAGTTTAGCTAAGCGGCATTCCCCGATTTGGTAGTTTTCTAGAGGATAAAAATTTTTTGCCTTTTTTGCAGATTCTTCTGGGTTGGGCTGGTGACAGGGCGTGGGTGAATGCGTCTATCGTATATGCAGTGTGCATGGCGCTCTGCGGTAGCGTTACCGCTCTGATACCGATAGTTGTCAACGATTATTACACTCTATGTGCAATCTCTGGTGCCTTTGGATTATTCATCGCAGCAAATTACAGCCTCACCAGCATCATCCTTGTTGAGCTGATCACCTTGGAGAGATTTACGAACGCTTATGGTCTTCTGTTACTCGTTCAAGGAATCGCCAATCTTATGGGCCCTCCGCTAGCTGGTAAATATTCTCGCGCGATACTTCATGTCACCGTCACAAATTAACGTAAAATAAGTTACAAGCGTTAAAAGCATAAATTGAATATTCTGAGTAACAGAATTATAAATTAATAAAAATTTTAAAAGATTTCGTTTTTTGGACCGCGAAACACGCTGAATGAATTCTAAGGATCCAATTGTTTCTTTTCTAGGATGGCTGTACGATATCACAGGCACGTACGATCTGTCCTTCTACTTGGCGGGATTGTTCATTGCGTTAAGCGGCGCATTGTTATTAGTGATGCCTTTGATTGGTTTGTATCGAAAGTGTCGAAACGAATCTAGAGGGGTAACTAGCAACAAAGATTTCAATGCGATAAACAATGTGTAAATATGCCGATATTTATTGCGAAGGAGCCAGAGAAAAGTAATCATCTTCGATATGATTCTATCAAGCAATTGTCAAGGGATATCAAAGGAATTGCAACACACATTGCGAAAATGGGCATCCCTTAATTTCGTGGTAGTTGGTACTTGGTAGTGTCATTCCGCGTAGCAAGCTAAATACACGAGCCGGCTGTGGTGTATTACATAATTATAGTTATAATTATAGTTTCTCGAAATGCCTTTTCAGGTTCATCGATTTTCCGTGACGCGATTAATGCGAACAGCTCGAGGAATGTTATATATAAAGGAAAAAATAGCAAGTCGCATTGGTGAAGTGACTTTCCGACTCTGTGCGATTATCAATTGATGCGCTTTACCTGTAAACGATTGCGAAAGTTATCAGGTCGTTTCTAATCTCTTATATAGACATTGCGTAAAGAAAATTATTTCAAGAATACAAACATAGCTTTTTTGTAATTTTTTGAATAGCGTAGAGCGATATGTTACGATATATAATAATATCTATATGTACAAATTAGGAACATGCCGCTTGCGATATAATATAAAGTCAAAGAGCCTGCGGAAAGCGTAGTGATGAGCTACGCGTTGCCGTCGATGATTTGTATATCTTGCCGAATTGATCAGATATATATTTTTCGCACGGCAACGACTAATTGTAAGTATAATTTCGAATCTCAGGATACAATATCAGCAATCGATCAGCGTATATAACAGTTCAAAATCGGCACATCTGGTATCCTGGTTTACGTGTTACAAGAAAAAAAGAAAAAAAACCGTATGAGCTCTATGCATGCTTGTAGTGCTACTTCTTCGTCTCAAGCGAATTGTATTCTCAAGTTAGACTATTGTACAGCTGACAAGTTATCCCTTCTTCCCTCTGGATAACGCGAAAAATATTGTAAATTAATCATCACGCCACATAAACCTAAACTTTTATAATTGTCTTCGTGTAACGCGCATCCTTCGCGTACGAGTTTCACGAGTTACTTTCGCATATTTCTCAATTATAATTTAACAATTTTTAGTTGAAATTCAAATTAAATTTAATTTAATTTTATGTGCATTACGTTCAATTAGATTTTGTAATCGGCCGAAAATGTTAATGCGCTTATTATTACAAGTTACAAGTTTCATTGTCACTTAACGGCTAATGCAAAAATTGAAGATAGAATATAACAAATTGGGATAGCGAACATTTCTTTATTCTCGTGTAGAGCGCGATGCGCATATTTCGTACGAAAAACACGTGTCTATAAAATAGACACATGTGTATAGCTTTTCTGTGATCGCAAACTTGCCTTCTTATCAATTTTGCGAGTTACAAGTAGACTACTACCTCCGTTACTACAGCGTATTCGTACGTACGTACATATACATATTATACATGTGGATGTGCGTGCGTGCGTACGTACACGTGTGTGCATGCATGCGTGCACATTAATTTTCTTAATCATCAAGTGCAATCTTTGCACTTACTATTGCTAATCCCTACTGTACTATTGCTATTTGTTTTTTTCTTTTTTGTTTTGTTTTGTTTTGTTCAAAAGAAGAGACACGTCGCGGGGATACAACGTTATTATTTGTAACGATTTACAATCGTACATACATACAATAACGAACGGATGCAATAAACAAGTGAGAATAAGATAACATCAATGTCAAAATGTCAAAATAAATCAAAATAAAATATGAAAATTAATAGATTAAAGGATTCCCAGAAATAATCCACAATTGAAATGTCGTAGGCTAATGGTCCATGTTATACGTATAAACAGTTATATTAATTTATTGCAGGGTATTGACATTTTAATTCATTGATGTTATGTTACTACTTGTTTGTGTTTTTACTGGGAAAAGTATAGTAGCGATAATTGAAAAGTGTTACCATTATTACGAACACGATGAAACATTGGCAATTAAGAGAGTCGATCTTTACTCATCTTGGAATGTTTTAAATGGAATATACATACAATTACTTACAATTAGCAAAATGAAAATTTTGCATTGCGATGGATATCCAACGCCATACGAGATAGAGAGACGTTCTTTAAAACTAGTCAAAATCGCCCTGTATGATCTTTTAGGTATTTTATCGATTCCACGGAAAAATTTTATATTCCAAAAAGATATCTGTTATAGTCAGTATAGGAATACGCGTACGTACGTATTATACATAACATTACGAGGCCTTTATACGGAGAAACAAAATATGAAAGATATTTACTGCTTTCACAAATATTAAGCATTAGATCGGTTAGGTAGCAACGACCGCGCGTTAACATATAACGATTCGAGTTTCGAATATTAAATTCTTTATTGCAGTTAGAATGCCGAACTGACAATGAGATATAATTTGATACCCGAAAGTATAACCACAAATCACAGATTGAATGTTGAATTGAATTCCGAAAATACTATAGAACGTATTTCCGATTAGATCACGAATCGATCAGTATCACGTGTATATGCAATGCGTAAGCGTATCTGCATGGTGCCAAGTCCAAATTATGAGAGTGCAATAATTTGTTTTTCCCAGCATGTACGCTCGACTTGCATTATACATCGGGCGCGTAAGTACGCCGCGCAGCCTTGTATGGCATCTACGAAATGAGTATAAAGCAATATTTTAATATAAAAAGAAAAATTGTGTATTTCATATATTTACGATATCAAGTTGCCGGCTTCATGAGAGTCTGACGACTTTCAACGGTAGTATTAAGCGATATATATATATATAGTTATTAAGACGAGGAACGGGACGCAAATATAATCTGTGAAAGGATAAATGAGGACTTTTTAATAGAATTCTGAAAATGGGAAAAAGAAAGTCTCGGTGCGATTCCTTCCAATAAAAAAGAGTATTTGCAAAAAAGAGTATGTAGAAGGAAAGTTAAGCGCAAGTATGGACGTTTCAATTGTACGACGATAATTGCAGCATTTCGCTTACATTATATATTGTATGAAATTTAATTGTATGTCAAGTCGTATTAGAAATTCGGCATATTGAAAAATCTTGAAAATTTTACCAATCTTCATCTATATTTCCAACGATTCTGATATCGTTCATTAGATCGTTACGACATATAGCGATCTATAGCGCGTCCCTAATGCATCCAATATCTTGTGTATACCTAAATGTGATTCGATACACCTATTGGCGCAAAATATTACTGATTTAAACATTCTTGTTGACTCTTAAATATTAAAGGAATGAATTTATGATTAGTCTCACAAGTATATATACAAATTATTAGCCAATACCTATATCATGCAATCCCTATCAAGAATAGAAAACATTTTTGAATTCGAGTATCGACGAGTATATTTGGCGATACAACCTTTTCCGATCTTTTTACTAGCTTTCAGCTTTCATTTTTTTTATCACGACATATATGTTGTTTTTTATTAGACACACATATATTTAAATTAACCTAACCAGAAAAATTCTGTATTTCGTCGCACTTTACTTTTTAAAATGATTTCTTGATTATAAGCTGTAGATAAAGAATAATAAAGCAATTAGATAGAAGAGATTAGAAATATTTTGTAAAAATTTCATCTCAGCTCAGCGAGAGACTAAATTCACAGTGCTAATTCGATATTTTCCTTATATATGTTAAATTATCGACAGGCAAATCGTCGTATCGGATAGCGTTGGGTGATGTCAGGTGGCAACACATTGCGTTGCGCTATGTTGAATCATCCAAGATAATTTTATCGATCGGTCATTTATTTTCGAATATATTTTTGTACTTGTATAAAAAGCTATTCCCATCATCGCGAATGCCGATTCGACAAACTTTTGTTTTTTTATAAAAGCGCTAAATGATACATGAATATGAAAAAGACAATTTTCTTATAAAATACTCAATCACATATTGTATTATACATTCAAAAAAGACTGTATAAGCTGCGCTTCTCTAGCTATTTTTTAAAACTCGTCTGAAAATATATAATAATTACTTTGCAATACTTATTTACATGCACGCGGATTTTTAACGATAACTATTGATAATATTAAAGTATGGCTCTAATATAATTAATCTGTAATTAATTATAATTAATATATAATTATAGATACCTCAAATTCCGAGAGTGCCTCGCAATTAAATTATAATTTTATATCACAAAACTGTTAAAATTTATTATTATTTTATTAAACCATACAAAGATTTCATATTATTAAAACAATATTATTAAAATTTTCAATCACTGTGGATTTTGTGTGTAACAGTATTAGATTCGAGTTAAAATGTGCAAGACAACTTTGAACTTTTTTTTTGTTAGCATCGCGATATACATATAGCCATATATACAGCTGACCGACATCTATAACCAGTATAACCGATATGGCCTCGCGTGGCTTATCAATTTATCGCGTCGACATCGCGTTTTTGGCATTGGCAAGTAGTCGACGAGAGGCGAGTCAAGGCGAATTTGATATGATGGTGGGGCGAAGCGAAGCGCGATGACGCCGATGACTGCCGAGAGGCCAGAGAGGCGCGGAGTGCCTCGGCAGGGCAAGACGAAGCGAGACGAGGCGAAACTTGGCTCGGGCTCGCGCTCGACTCGGCCGCTCGACAAAGTTTGGCTTAGAACTTGGAGTAGCGAGCTGGGTGAGACGAAGCGTGACGAAGCGCGGGGCGCGGCGCGACGGAGCGACGCGTGGCGAGGTGCGGGGCGCGGCGCGGTGCGGCGTGACGAGATGAGGCCGACACGCGTGCTCCGTTCAGGTCAGGTGCGGCGGCGAGAACCTTTCTTATGACGTGGATTTGGAGGCTCCTGAACCGCAGTCTACCGGGTGTCTTCAACCAAGGCAGTCGCGTGATATCGCGTCGCGAATGCACGAAATTGGCATTCCGATAAAAAGGCGCAAAACGTTTTTTCCAACGAGAATCGTGCTTATAGACTACTCAAAGTCTTCAGCTATAACAATTGTCACGAGCTCGTTATTGGTAAGCTCAACGTGCAGATGCGATACAACACTTCCAGTATTTCACGCATGCTAATTCTCTCCTATTTGCTTTTTTCATTTTCCTTTTAATCCTTTTTTTCAGCACTTGAATATATGTAGATAAACATTTACCAATTGCCAATTCTAATAGCATGTATCGAGCAAGCAATAATGAGAAGTGATTAAAAACTTTATATATATTCTTTTACTAATAATAATAGACATTTGCCAATTGTCGTGTCCTCATTAATATTTTTTATATCCATTATAAATTCCTTGTTTAGTCACTATTCTTGGTATGAGAATGTTTATTTGTGTTTTAAAAACATTGCTACTGTACATATTAATTTAGAGAAAGAATATTATTTAGGTATACGCTAAACTCGCTTGTCTCTCTCTCTCTCTCTCTCTCTCATTTATCTGTCACTCGTCCAAAAATGTAGCACTTATCACTAATCCGAATGGACGTATGGCTCACCGAAAATTCTCAATTTAATATCAGTTGAAATTATCGTGTAGTTTATTAAATAAATATAAAATTATTTATTCACATCGATGTAGCTGTAGATAATAAATGTAATTATCGATAATTAAGCGTGCCATATTCATTTTATTCCCTTCAATATTTTCAAATTTTATTTTCAATTTTTCCAATGTTGCAAATAATATATCACAGCGGTAATGCAGGTTGAACACAAAGTCGACGATATATGTATTCAAAATTTATAATTGGATATATTACGATGAAGTATTTTGAAAAGTATAAAGATAAATTGTAAAATTATTTTTATTTGCAAATTTTTATCGAATTATTTTTTAATTACATTTTGTTCACTTTAACGACTTGTACATACATACATACATACATACATATATACTCAATTTTGAAATATGAAATATATACACATTACGAGCGCGACAATGAAAAAGATGCGTTCTAATTTTTTTAAACAAAGGAAAAAGAATTGTCATTCATATTATAGTTATACATATATATTATTAACTGTATAACTTATTAATTTACATAGGTTTTTTCTGTTATCAAGTTATTTTTCACTACTATCGTAAAGATTTAAATTGTAGGTTATATATTTTTTATGTGAAAGCACCACATTTTTTCACGTAATAAAACACACAATTGATTTACATAAATATTTTTATGCTATCGTTTTTTTCTCCTGTTCTCTCTTTGTTTCTTCACCGTGTCTCTTTTTTATATTTTCTTCCACTTGCATTAAAAGTAAGCCGAAAAGTATATTTAAAGAACAATTAAAGAATAGTAAATACTTAGTAAATTAACGATAAGATTTTATCGCTTTGAGTGTTTACATACCACAAGATGCATTGATCTGCAGTATAATTCTGGTTAAGTATGCATGATCATCGGTATTAAATTCACGGACAATGTCCCGTCGAGTCAAAATGTTTGATATGGTGTTTAATCGATGACTCAATGTACATATATTCGAGATAAGTAATATAATGCGAATTGCGTCAGAAATATAAGAGAAATGTTTTCTCTAAAGTTTTCTTTACAAGTTTACCGAAAATATTAAAAATAATAGAAATATTGCATACGTAATTTCTTTTGTGCGATAAATCAGATATTATACTAATTTTTCAATCATTCATTATATCACTGTTCATTAAAACAGCTAATAAAAATAGTTAGAATCAGTTGTATCTGTTTTTAAAATTTTTTTATTTTTTTGGTTGAGTTTATATTCACAATCGGTGGCACAAATTTAATCTCTATTTAATATTTTCAAACAAATTGTTTTTCAAATTTCCGGACATATGCTTTGATTTTTACAATATTTTACAAAATCAAGTTTATCGGAAATTTTACTGTGTCTATATTTTAGTGAAGACAGACTTTTCACGCAGAGAAATCGACCGGTCGGTCTCCATGGTGATCACACCCCTCTGGCGACTCAATTGTATGGCTCTAACTACTTATTTTCGAACCTTTTCTGCTTGCATTTATTTAGGCGTATATAAGAAATGTATGTAAAAGTAAACAATTTGGTATACCGCGATGTCAGAAATGTAATTCATTTCATTTATAATACATCAACCATTGCTATATATACATTCGCGTGCTAGGTACGTTAACGACTAGGTTTATCTGTCCCTATTCGATTTAATACGTATATATGTATATGTATAACGCGATAAGTATAATATAATTATACAAAATCCATAAACAGCAATAAGACACGTAATCCTTTCTTTCAAACATTTGAGCAATAAATTTTAATTACGTACCGATTGTAAATCTTTATAAATGTTATTCCGACAAAATTTTGACCGAAGAAGCATATCAGAAATAAATAAAATTATTTGAAAATTCGTAATATGGAAAAACAAAAAAATATAAAGGCCAACAAACTTATTTATGTGTTTCGGGATTTGTACGTGTCTTTTATCCATATGAATTAATGTTAACAATTGCATACGCGTCGAGAAATCTATTTTCCACGAGGAAAGTTTTGCAAAAGTTTCTAACAAAATGAGTAGATTAACAGTTTAATTAATTGGGATGATCGGGATAAGCGGAGAAGTCGCGGATTACAGTTAAGAAGTTCACATTTCTTATATCACATTTCTTATGTATTCTTATATATTCTTATTTTTATTAAAAATTATTAAAAATAAGATCTTACATACAGTTAAATAAGAAATATGACATTTCGGCTCGACATACTGGCTTTATATGCATCGACGATTTCTTAAAAACAGGAATTATGAAAAAAATTTTAGCAATGCAACAACAGTGCAGCTTTTGTAACATATATGAGGTAAATTCAACCTAATATTTCAAATTTAAACAGACTTATAAATACTACTGGCAATTGCCAACAATTTTTTAGCTTACGTCGCAAGTCGACAGTTGTGCAATACCAAAGTATTATTAGACTACTGTCTGCGAAAGACTTCTAATAATAAATGCGTTTACTTTTGAAAGTTTTGGAACGTTCTGATGTATTTTACGACAAATGCCTTTTTTCTCTTTCTAGAATGTATTATAGGTATAATACAATTGAGCACAATAAGTGAACTAAATAAGTAGTAGCGAATTTTTAGAATTTTTGAATCTCGCAATTAGACATATGATAAAAATATATGATATTAAAAATTTTTTAAGTCGCGATAAACGCGAGATCAACCTCTTTCGTTATTTTCGCATTTTTCTAGAAGTTATTAAATTAACGAAGTGTTCGAGATACCTCGTATATCATATAATCCGTATAATAAAAACATATAGAATTTTTGCCTGCATATATATTTATATATGCATTTCGAGATAATCTAATCTAATTGTATATAAGTATATAGAGATGTAGTCAAGTATAAGCTTTTCTATGCTGATAGAGATAGGAGTAAAGATTCGAAAAATGATTTATAGAATGCATGCATAATGACACAATAATAATACGCAACGATTACGCACGAATAAAACGTTTTCTCCGATCTTATGTTAAATTCTTTTGACAAATAAATTCAAATAAATACGTACGTATTCTGCATTTTAATGCAATGAAATGCATTTCTTTCCTTTTCTTTTTTCATTATCCCTTTAGATTTCTAATTTCTGTCGTGAAATGATATAAATGCAAATTATATGAAAAAGATTCAGAAATTTCTTTCACGAATACGCCGATTACTTCTTGCGCGACATTGTATCGCTTAATTGTGCGACATTCGCGGATGAGACAACGCGTGCAATTTTGGTCATTACGTCACTATATCTTGGCGTCAAATTTCGTTACGGAAAATTTACGAAAGTGAGACGAGATACACTAGACTATATATCTATTATGCTTTGAATTTAAGAAATTAGTTATTTTATCAGATATTGTAGGAAAAATGACTCGGCAGATTGGTAGCATTCACAGAGTGCTGCAGGCAAGCGTTAATTGTAATTTAAACGTTTTATCATCACCGATGATAAAACGTTTAAATTATAACTCGGATACGATGGACATATCATTAAGAATGATGCGTTTCCTTTTTCCTTACACGGAAAGAACAATTTTGCTGGATCCAGATCTGAAAATAATTTTTGTTCAATAATCAAAATAATTTTGTTGAAAAGTCACAATGATTGTGCCAGGAATAGGAAAACGTTTTATAGCAATGCTTATAATTTTTAACTTTCCAACAAATTATTTTAATGATTGAATAAGAATTATTTTCAAATCTGTATTTTGTAAAATTTTTAGACTTTTCAACAAGTCTACTTTCTCCGTTTCGTATTATTCCTATTTGTTTAATGATTTGCAAGATGATTCTAAGATTTTCATCGGGTCTAAAGATTGCGTGTGATTGCTAATACAAGTGTAAAAAAATTGTTTTACAGGACGAGCAACCCGACAGTGTGTGCATGCTGAATTCGGCGCGGTCGCCTTTCCGTGATTCGTCCAAGATTGTTCCGAGAGTCCTTATGGTATCCGGAAGACAAGGTGGCTATCTTCCGACTGAGTTCCAAGGGCTGAAGGGCTGGCGACGTCGCTGGATTCATTCGGCAATTACTTATATTTAGAGAAATCATGATTAGCAGGAACGATGCTATCCTGCGGGGAATTCATGCAGAATGTGAGAACGACTGCAGACATGATAACAATAACGATCAAAACGATCGTTCCGCGAGCGTTGCAAGTGTCAGAAAGGAAGATCCGTACGCTGCAAAGAGGAATCAGAATGAGAACAATCGCTGTCATTCATCCCGCAGAGCTCCTTTGGTCGGCTGGCGAAATGGAAGTCCTACAATTTGTTCGAGTTTCCTCCAGCAAAGTGTCGATTTGACTGACGATGAGGCCAGTTCGCCCACGAAAAGTTGTAATATGCGTAAAATCAGTCTGAATTCGACGGAGAGACCCGCGATCAACGCGATACGAGAGCCGGTCGAAACGATTGAGTCGATGGAGTGCAGGAGCGATGCTTCAAATAAGATTCAGGAGATACCTGCAGTTCACGAGGGATACACCACCAAGTCGGTAGCCGCCGATACACAAGGTACAAGGACGAATCGGTGTGTCGAGGATTCCATCGATTCCTTAAGCATCTTGGAGCGAGAGGATTCATCAAGTTTTATCGCGAGAGAGGCAAAAGGCAAAAAACCGAAAGTGCCTGACGGCGGTTGGGGCTGGGTGGTTGTTTTAGCCTCTCTGATCATTTCCATGGTGGCCGACGGTGTCTCTTTCAGCTTCGGCCTGCTTTACATCGAGTTTCTTCACGAATTTGGCGCCTCAAAATCCAAGACTGCCTGGATCGGCTCACTCTTCATGGCCGTGCCTCTCTTATCCGGACCGATCATGTCCGCCCTTGTCGATCGTTACGGATGCAGGAACATGACCATCATCGGCGGTCTGATATCAGGGCTAGGCTTCATCCTGAGTATCTTCAGCAATACCATCGAGATAATGTATATAACTTTCGGCGTAATCGCGGGTCTCGGTCTGGGTTTGTGTTACGTCACCGCGGTTGTGAGTATCGCCTTTTGGTTCGACAAGAAACGAACCCTGGCCGTAGGTCTCGGGGCGTGTGGCACCGGTATCGGTACATTTGTCTACGCTCCGATGACAACGTATTTCATCAAGGAATACGGCTGGCGAGGCGCTTGTCTGCTCTTAGCCGGCACTTTCTTCAATATGATCGTCGCGGGTACTGTTATGAGAGATCCAGAATGGTGGATTATGGAACAACGCAAACAGGATCAAGCTTTGTCGAAGAAATCGTACGGCCGTTCCGCCGATGCGAGTTCGTTGGACGAGTTTCCAGGCGTCGAGGAGCTCAAGAAGCTCTTCAGAAGTGACCACGCGCCGGAATATTTTTTACAAAACCTAAGCACGAGCACTAAAGCGGTCGATGGCGTTAAGAGGCAGACAACGAGTGTAGTTAATCTACCAACTTTTGTAAAGCGAAGCGAAAAGGTGAGAGAGAGAGAGAGAGAGAGAG